ATCGAATGTAAACTATAGTTAACGATTCGTTAAGTATAGTTTTCATCTGTAAAACTATATTTAACGGTTGTTAACTATAGTTTACGAATGCTAATCTAAGTTTATCTGTCTGTAATAAAACGTTAACAATAGATTTTGTTGTTGAACATAGATTAACGTCTGTAAACTATTATTTACGATCGTTAACTATAGTTAAGAGTTTTAAACCATAGTTTACAATCGTGAAACTGTATTTATCAGATAATCTATGTTTTGCAATCGCAAATGATTGCTTTCGGTATTAAGTATACCGGGTAGTTTACAGTTGTGAAACATAGATTATCGCGTTAACTATGGTTTACAGATGTAAAATATAGATTAACGTTGTTAACTATAGTTTACAGTCCGTAAACTATAGTTTACGTGCGATAAACCTAGTTTTGCTCATTTTTGTGAATTTGGCGTGCCATAGAGCGAGGGATCTTGATTGTGTTCACGGCTTTCAGCTCAGGTGAGCTAAAACTAATACAAACATAGTTATGATGAGGAAAGGTGTCTCTTCCAAACTTGTGAAATTTATGGTCCCTGGGACAGGGGAACTAGGGCAAGGGTGGGACTATATAGAGTATATAGTCAAAATGCACTAATTCTGTGAAAATCTTCTCTGCTCCTGTGTACTAAACAAACTTACTATATACATAGTTATGATGAGCAAAGGTGTCTTTTCCAAAAATTGTGAATTCCATGGCCCCAGGGTCAGGGGTTGTGATGATAGTGTGGGGTTCTATATTGATTATATAGTGAAAATGCCATAATTCTGGGTATAAAGCAGATGAATTACTTTTATAGTCTATTAGATATGATAAGCAAGGGTGCGCCTCTTCCGAAATTGTGAATTTCATGCCACTGTAGTGTTTAGGCAGGACTGTATAAATTTGAAAGCAAAATTGCATTGTTTGATGATCTTCTCTGCTTCTTGGTATTAAACAAACTAACTACATACATATAGCTATAATGAGCAAGAATGTCTCTTTCAAAATTGTGAATTTCATGGCCCCAGGGTTAGGGTGGGCTATATAAATTATTCTGTGAAAATGGATCAATTCTATGAAAACCATCTCCTCTGCTTCCGGGAATTAAGCAGATGAACTACCTATATAGTCATAATGAGCAAGGGGGCCTCTTCCACAATTGTGAATTTCGAGACCATGCAGGTCAGGGGTACCATAGAGGGGGAGGGGGCTCTAATTACGTATATACTGAAAATGAATAAATACTTTTAAATCCACTCCTTGGTATTAATCAAATATTTATGATGAGCTAGGGTTCCTTTTCCAAAAACCCCAGGGTGAGGGGTTCCTGTGGAGTAGGGGCACTACTAATTTTTGCTGATTATTACCGATTTCTTGAAATGCAGTTTTTTTTGCTCCCCTACACTGCTTAGGGGTATTAAGTAAACAAACTAAGCATGCTAAGTGTATAGTTATGATGGACAATGGTGCTTCTTTCAAAATAGTGAATGCCATGTCCTCTGGTTAAAAGCATGAAACATTTTCAATTGTTGGAAATTTAAGTAATTTTATGATGCTCAAGTAACCTATATTGCCTGTGAGCCTCTTGTTTTTCTTTCCATAAATTACATAATTATAAGAAGTCATATATCTTATCAAAATAGCTAGTAGATTCTTCTTGAAAAACCTTTGTTTTTGACTTAAAAGATGGTATACTAGGCGCGGATCCAGGAAATAAGTTAGAGGGGGCGCCAAAAGTAGGCACGGGATCAGGCCTGGGGGCCATAAAACTTAGACAAGCTCACTTTTCATCTCAGTCTCACTTTTCCCAAAGGAATAAATAGTGGAAAAGTGAGACTGAGATCAAAAGTGAGCTTGTCTAAGTTTTATGGTCCCCAGGCCTGGGGCTGCCTTGAGGCCCCCAGTGGGTACAGCACATTTTTTCTACATCAGGTTAATATTTAATATGAAAAAATCACAAATCAAAGCATCAATATTTTTAACAGTTTTATTTTTTGTAGATATTAAGACATTTACACCAGATTTATAAAAAAAAAAATTATGATAACATACATATGGATATTTAGGAATCCCTAAATCAAAGGAATTTTGGAAATAGACAATTTGTCCCTGGTTTAAACAAGAGGCCCATGGGCCACATTGCTCACCTGATCACTGTGGCTGGGAAAAAGTAGAAATTGGTTTATTATTGAATAGTTATTATCCAAAAGTAGTCCCATGACCAATCATGCTTTGCTATTCTTGATAGGATGATTTTTAAAGAATTTTCCTATATATTTCTATGTAAAACTTTGGTCGGCCATTGTGGCCTCGCCCTACCCTCGGGGGTCATGATTTGAACAAACTTGAATCTACACTACCTGATGATGCTTCCATATAAATATGATCAAATATGGCTTTGTTATTCTTGAGAAGAAGATTTTTAAAAAATTTTCCTATATATTTCTATGTAAAACTTTGGTCGGCCATTGTGGCCCCGCCCTACCCCCGAGGGTCATGATTTGAACAAATTTGAATCTACACTACCTGAGGATGTTTCCCCATAAGTTTCATTTTTCCTGGCACAGTGGTTCTTGAGAAGAAGATTTTTAAAAGATACCACCAAATTTTCATTAATCCCCAATTATCTCCCCTTGAATGAGGGCGTGGCCCTTCATTTGAACAAACTTGAATCCCCTTCACCCAAGGATGCTTTGTGGCAAGTTTGGTTGAAATTGGCCCAGCAGTTCTTGAGAAGAAGTCGAAAATGTGAAAAGTTTACAACAACGACAATGACGATGACAACAACAACAGACAACGGACAAATTGTGATCAGAAAAGCTCACTTGAGCCTTTGGTTCAGGTGAGCTAAAAAGAAGTAAATGAGACATACATTTTTGAAAATGAAATGGAGGTTAAATTTTCCTTGAAGTTTACAATTAAGCTTTTGGTCCACCCTTTTTAACCTTAAAATCTGAATACTGTTACCAATGCATGTGAATATGTTGATCTATGTTCTGTTCTTTACCAAAGATGTCATTGTATAAACTTACTGACAACATAAAAACAACAAACTGCAGGATCATGTTTCTTGTTCAGCTTTAACAACAACAAAAAAATCCATGTTTTCACAATTGTACACCTTATCTGAATTCTTACTACAATTTCAGAGAATTTTTTCAAGCTCCAGTTCTTTTAAATCTAGAAATATGTCTATATTAGACATGAATATTATTGATGGGATTGTTAAGATAAAAAAGGTGGTTAATTCTCCCCAAATAATGTATCCATGCATAAGCTTACTGGTATATTAAAAAATTATCTGAAGAGTTTCTTTGAAACTGAGCTGAATATAAAATGAAGAAAAGTAAGGTCAAGATCCAAGAAAAAGTTAAAAAAAACAAAAAAACAACAGATGCAATGGAATACCAGTAGCTTTCATCATTATGTATAAGCATATGATTTGAATAGTTTCATTGAAAATTTAGCAAAACAAATTTTAAGTCAAAATAAAGTAAAAAAAATGCTGATGCTATTTAATTGGTTAGCTTTCATCCACATGTATTAGCATTTAAAGATAAAAAAAATCTTGAATGCTTTCTTTGAAAGTTAGCTAAACACAAATCTGAAGTCAAAGTAAAAGGAAAGGTCAATTTTAGTCAAAAATGCCGCAGCAGTTGAATACATCTTTTTAATATGTATCAACACGTACATTTTGATTAAAATATCTTGAATAATTACTTGAATAATAACTTTGAAACTTAGTTAATCACAAATTAAAGAAAAGTTTAGGTCATAAGAAAGGTCAAGGAAAAAAAATATTGAAATTGAGCTGAATGCCAAGTGTGACAGAAGGACAGAAGGAGGGAAGGCAGATAAAACATACACTATATATGCCTTGGCCATATTCATGGTGAGGAGGGCAAAAACATTCTTAAACTTAACAAAATGAAAAGAGGGTAAACATTCTTTATAAATAAAAATATTGCCTATGGTAACTGTTAAGCAGCACTGAAATATTAATACAAAGCACAACAATAACCAAAATAAAGCTAGTAAATAAGGACAGTTCATGCAAAAAGCCATCTTATAAACATACAATAGCTAAGTAAAATGGGAAAGGCTTATACTGTGTAAAACTCCCAACACATCCTGCACCAAAATTCTCAAACAAAATTAATATTCCCTCATTCAAATGAATAAAAAGAAAAAATAGGACCATACCAAAAGTTTGTTTTTTTGCTTTGCTTGAAACGCAAAGAAAATAACATTGTATATCAAATTAGTTGAAAACTCTTTTCTGAAACTGTACATTATAAAATGTTGATCTACAACTTTGAACAAAATTCTTACCATTTTGTGGTGCAACTTCACTGTTTCTTTCTTAACTGCATTATCAAAACCTATTTCTTCACATTTTCCATATTTTGGACCTAAGATATCATATGGCAAAAACCCCAAAATTAAATAATTAAAAAATGGCACTAAATCTGAACATTCATGGCTTATTTAGAAAACCAAAAACTGCACCAACACAAAATGTATGTTTTATCATCACATAGTGAAGAACAATGGATGACTATAAAAAGTGTTTCACCTTGTATAAGCCTAGATCTTCTCAAGAAGTATGTATTGCATGCCACAAGTACTTTTAATTGTGATTTAAGGATGTACTCAAATTTAAAGGGTTTTAATTGTATTTTCAATTCAATCAAACAGCATAAAAATATCTTTTAAGGACTTTTGTGATAAAAATAAAAAGGAGTTCATACTTGTAAAAATATATCTATTAGTCAGCTAAGTTGTGTAAATTCTGGGTTCGTCTCTTTGTGAATAAAAATAAGGATTTTAACTGTCTCTCTTTAATTAGTATGCATACAAATCTGTAAAATCTGCTAATAAATTCCTAGTATTAATAGACAAAGTATGAACTTATATCATTGACTCATTGATTTAAAAATGTATGCCTTTGTTAACTGTGTACCAGGTACTTTTTTTTTTTTTGTATTTTTGAATCGGATACAGTTAATAGTTATATGACACATGGTGCCGCTAGTGTGCATATGTTGCAGAGAAAAAAAAACAACTTAGTTTCCTATGAGCAGTGGGAAAATACATAAATAAAGCATGCACAAATAATATCTTCATTCAATGGTGTTGTGTAATGATCGACCTCAAGAAACAAAATGACTAAAAAAAACAACAAAAACAGAAACAAAGTTACAAAATCACATTAGACTGGTTGTAGATTGCTCCCAAATCGCTCAATAAAGTCAGAAAACTGCTGCTGCGTTAACATGTCCATATTCAGAGTTCGAACTCCGTACTTGTTTAGAAACGAGTCCACGTCGTCAAGGCTGCCGTGAAACGTGTCCTCCAGATTAATCTGCGTGGAATTCAGTTTGTGCACCAGAGTTTTTAGTGGGTTATCAAATTTGATTTTCCTCTTCCTTCCTCGCTGGAATCGGTTGCTGCCATTGTCTATGATATCTGAGGAGTGAAGTTCATCGGTATCTGTTTCTCCTCCACTTGTTAAACTGTCACTTCGCTTCACCTGTCCATTCCCGCCTCCATCTGTCGTTGATGAACCCATATCACTGACTCCATTCCTTTCAGTCTCACTGACAGATTTATCCGTGTTTTTCGCACCACTACCCTCCGCCACAGGTTCTACCTCAGTCTTTACATCACCATTGTTGTCTTCAGAAACGTCCAGCTGAACTTCGTCAGCGCCATCACTGCGGAAGAATTTTTCCTCCTCGCTGACTTGGAATTCCATCAGGCAAGCTGGGTGGTTTGTATGCTTGTCATAGCAGTGCAGGCGCACTTGATGTCGGAGGGGGGCTGCATATACACAGTAAACACAGCTAAAACCTTGACTTAGTTGGTTCATATCCTTGGGCCGTACAACATACGAAGAGGGAGTAAATCCTAAAACAAAACAATACTGTGTGAAGACCAGGACATATAAACATATAAACAACTGATGTAAATATAGACTAAGGAAATAGGCAGAATTAACACTTCATCATAATAACATCCTTGTTTGGAGGATTCCCATGGGCTGCAGATATATAATCACTACTCAGCAGGATGTTTATATAGGTCATGGAATAAAATATGATTCAATACTGGTATATCTTATTAAAAATAATGTCAGAAAAAAGAATGATTACTTAGTGAGAATTTTTTTTCTACATCGTTGCAAAGCTTGGCAATTTCTTCATTATTTTTTTTTAAGTTCACTTTCTTGAGTAAAATCTAAATGCAAATGCTATAATTTTAAAATGCACTAGCCTCCTGACAACCCTGTTATACCTATCACGTTAACCTTCTCTGTCCTATTCCAGACACTTTCATTTACCTGTCCACATGTCACAATGTCACCTGAAGTCTGCCTATCAGGTGTTACAATAGTTCAGATCAGTTATAAACTTTTGTTCAAGTTTCATTAATACAACTGATTAAAACTCAAACAACCCCTGGGAGATACACTGTTAGACTCAGAAATTATAGTCACAGTTAAATGTTCACACAGACTAGACTGTCAAAGAAAACAGGTAATTTAGTTACTCATCAGGATTTTATATCATTAATTTTCCTGACAGGATACATATTTTATTCCTACAGGTTCAAGATGATAAAAAGAAAACTAAGAGTTAACTGTGTTTTAACTCAACATTGCTAATATTATTTAACATGGAAAGGTGTTATTTAAACCTTTTTTTTTGTAATGTGTTCTTTCATCAGCTGTTCATTTCCATCAAATGGGCATGGATGACCTTTGATTTTAAAAAAAACAAAACTTCCACTTCCCTTAACTTAAAATATTTTAATTGTGATAATGTAAAAGTTACATAATCAGGTGTTTCTTTCATGGTATTTATGTCCCCTGCTTTCACTGGCAGTGGAGGGTATTAATTTTGGTCTGTCTGTTCATCCATCTTTGTAGCTGTATTTCTGTCTGTTGTAACACTTTCGTTTCTGTGTGATTTCTCAAGAAGATTTCGAGCTTTTGCAAAGAAATTTTACATAACAATTCCCTATGGCCTATGGAAGAGCCCTATATATTTTGAGGTCAAAAGGTCATAGGTCAAGGTCATAAAATTAATAAATTCTGTCTATTTTAACACTTTTGTTTCTGTGTGATATCTCAAGATTGAAGCTTTTGAGCTTTTGCATTGAAATTTTATAATACAATTCCCTATGGTCTCAGGAAGACACCTATTTATTTTGAGGTCAAAGGTCAAGGTAATACATTCAATGAGTAAAACTTTCATTTCTAGGTAATATCTCAAGAAGCTTTTGAGTGTAAGCCATTAAATTTTTTACCATATGAAGTTGCTATGGCCCCTCCAGCCATTCTTAAATTGTCCTCCCCTCAATCCCATCCCAATATATCTGTGTAAGTTTTATGAACACTATAAGTCAAGTCTAAACTATGAGTCAAAGTTGAATCAGAGCATGCTATAGTGATGGATATATGTTTTCAGAAGAGTATCAAAATTGTTGGTCAACCAACATTCAATTTTTAAGACTTGAGATCATAACTTTTTCAGTATTTCTATGCACATTTTCAATGAGATATAAGAAGTTGAGCAAGTTTTCTTGTTAGCCTGAAGAGGAGAAAATTACATCTCTTTCTCCATCACAAAGTTTTGTACTTTTTGCATCACAGTGCCACTTTAGGAGTAGAAAATGTGACCATGGTGAAAAACATTATTCCAAGACAAATACGGGACAAACCTTATTTAAACGATAGTTCTATCACTCTATAGGCTGCATTGTTAAATTGTGCTATTTCAAAAACTATTTTTAAAAAAGATTTTTCTCTCCCCTTTACTTTTGAAAAAAATATTATCCCTCTCAGACTGGCTAATATTGTAGCCCCAATATATATCCTCAACAGTCAAGTCATAACTAAACCAAAACAACAGAGAAATGCTTCAACTAACATGTCATTTCATTTTTACTTTGAGGTTGGTCTAATGACCTGATAATGGCTTTATGTCTTTGTCCTCCTCCCTAGTTTTGCTCTTACCATCATGGTTAGTCCATGGTGTAAGACTTAACTAATAAGACAAAGATACTTCTTGTCTCATATCATGCATACTACATTTGTAGTTGTTTCTACTTATTCAAAGGACTTACAAGTTTTGTGGCAAACTTACTCAAACAAGAAGAAACAAAAAAACATGCTAGATCAATAAATGATACATAAAGTCAATAAGTCTTGATGTCTGTTACAAAATATATAGATTAACTCACCTAGACTGGGGGAGGACCTAGCCACCAAATGGCACTTCTTACGTCTCTTTTTGGTGACGAAGCTGTCCTCTGTGGAATCTGACTCGACCGAGTCACCCCCTGAAGTTCTGGACAAAGCTGCTACGTCCTTCAAGTTCTTCTTCAGAGGGCCCTTTTCTGAGGCTGCACTGCTGTAGTCTGAACCTTTGGGACTGCATGACCTTCTCTTCCAGGCTTTCTTTGGACTGAAAGACTCCACCGCACTGGAATCAAGAGATGTTTCATCTGGATCTTTGACCGTCATCTTTTTGCTGTAAGAACTTTCCTCTACAGATTCATCGTCGTCATCATCAAAGTCTGGTTTGTATGGATCTGCTCTGCTGAGGCTCTCCATCTTTTCATTCATATAATTTGCCTTTGTCGTTCTGTAGTCTAGTTCCATGTTTCTCTCTGCTAGATATCTATTGAGATTTATCAATGCCCTGGAAATCATAGGGTCTTCATCTTGGTGTAAATCAATGGAATGCTGCAATGTCACATATTTATCTGTGGAAGCAAACCCACAACGGCCACAGGACCAGTTACAGATCTTGTGTAAATGCATCATATGTAGCTCTATCCCTCTCAAAGTCCGCTTCTCAGCAAAGCAGATTGGACACGACACCCACTCATCTTTTGTATTTGTCTGTGAAGGAACATAAGCACTAGGGACTTTAGGTGAACTCTCTGTTTTGTTACTTGTAATCTCTTCCTCTTCATCAGAATCCTCCTGTTCTTTTAGTTCTAATATATTTGTGGCACCACATTTCTTCAGCTCACCTCTGGACATTGCTTTCACAGTTTCAATATCTGCAAAGGCACGCAACAGATATGGCGTGTCCTCTTTGTGAGCCTTTTTGGAGTGTTTCACTGCCTCTGGTTTATTGTATGTCACATGGCCACAACGCCCACATTGTAATTTCTTTAGTTTATGTTTCATTGCCAAATGCCGCTGGACACCAATAATGTTAGAACTATATCCACACAAAGGACATGTTGCTTTTGAGCTCAGTGGCCTCTTCACTTTCTTTTGCAATCTTTTTTGAAATGTAAGAGCTTTCGAAAAGTTATGCTTTTTCACTTCTTTTTTATCCTTCGAGAGAAATTCCACCAGTTCATGTCCAAGATTAAGGTTGTATGTAACACGTACTGGCTTGATGATTTTTACATTGTGCTCCGTGTTGCAATGCTCCATTATATCCTCTTTATTTTTGTTAATAAATGTACAGTACGGACACTTATGCATGAATACCTTGTGTATGCGTAAGAGATGCATTTGAATTCCTTTCCGAGTGAACTTCATATCACATTTGACACACCTGAAATCCTGGGCTCCTTTGACTGAGGGCTGAACCCTCTCCTCAGCCTCTTTCTCATCAGCCTCTTTTTCACTGCCCTCCGTCTGATCTTCTGATTGGCTGCTCTCCTCCTCCTCCTTGTTTTGGGTGTCTCCATCATCAACAACCTCCTCCACTTCCATAGTTTTGCAGAATGATCTTTTGATACCGGGAGAGGTACCAGGGTGATCTGCATAGCAATGTTTCAGACATTCCTGTTTTGACATGGACATGAAAAGACACAGATTACAGGTGTATTCACACATGTTGTGGACCCAGAAGGCATGCCTTTTGATTCCCATAGCACTGTCTGCAGACTGACCACAGTAGGGACATCTGTAGTACAGAGCTGAGGCTTTTGTGTCTGATTTGGTTGGAATGCTTGGTTTTGATGGCTTCAAAAATTCTTCTTCCATTAGAAGTCCTTTCTTCCTCCGTCTATAGAGGTCTGGACTAGGATCAAATGTGGTTTTAAACTTGCGTACTCGTGGAAGATCCAGTATGTTGCTTTCATCAACAATTTCATAATTCTGGACTCTATCTGTCTGTTTTTTCCTGCGTGCAAATTTCTTTTTTCTTTTATGAAAACTGAAACTTTTGGCTTTTTTTAGGTTTTTGTGCAGGAAGGAAGATTTCATATTTTTGTATTGTTTTTTCTGCTGCGTGCTTTCTGACTTTCTTGAATATTTTGAGTGGTTACGTCCACCTACACTGGTTTGGGAGTTGATCTTGGTTGCAGGCAAAGGTTCTATAATGTCACTCATTGCATCAGAATCATCTTCTTTCTCCTGAAAATTTTTAGATGCATCAATGGACATTTCCTCATTGTGTTGAGCAGAGGAAATTCCTTCTCTTTTTGAAAGGCTTGCATCAACATTCTTCTTTGATATATGATCACTTTTCGACTCAGAATCTTCAAAATTATTCTTTGTTTCCTCAGAGTTCTCCTTGGTGGAAGGACTTGACGTATCCTCTATATTAGTGGATTGGGGTAAACTTTTAGTTTTATTCTCCATCTCTCCAAGGATGTCTCTGATTTTCTTCTTTCCTGAATATGTTTTCTTCACCACTCCCACCTGCACATCAGGTGTAGAATCGTCAGTGCTCTCACCAGAAATTACTGTAGCTGCAACAGGACTGACTGGATCAGATCTTTTTGTAGTAAAACGAAATCTCCTTTGATCACCAAAAAGTTCCTTCGAGGATTTATCACTTTCTTCGTCAGACACCCATTTGTGATGTTTACATGCAATTACATTTCTTTCCAACTGTCTTTCAGCTTCACTATCTTTCTTGTACACAAAGTGCTGTCCAGCACATTCCTGGTGATTCCTCAAGTGGCTTGAGAAGCCATATTTGTTGCAGGAAGGGAATCCGCAGTTAGAGCACACATAGGGTTTATAGTTCAAATGAAGCATGTAATGCCTACGGAAATTTTGAGCAGATTTTGTAACAAAAGTACACTTATCACATTGAAAATAAAACATTTTCACCTTATTCACAAGAGAAATGTCAATGGAATCATCATCAACATAGGTGGATGCATCTGCTTTCTGCTGCACTGGACCAGTGTCTGGCTTTGTCCCTTCTGGTCTAGGTTGGGGGCTTGAGACAGTTACCTGAGATCTCTGTTGTACTGGATTTGTTGGGGAGCCAACCTGTTTAACTTGAGCTTGTTTAGCTAATAAAATATTTGGTGCTACAGTTGTGGTGGATACAAAGTGTTGTCCTACTGGGATGTTTGTCTGTGGTTGCATAGCACCGGTATTAGTTTGCATCTGGGTTGAAGGTGAAAATGCTGATATCTGTGAAGCTGGAAATTGTGGAGGGTGGTTGGTAACAGCTTGCTGACCAGTTACATTAGTTGCAGGCTGAGATGATGCCTGCATAGATGGTTGAGATACTGATGCCTGAATAAGTGCTGGAACACTTGTTATATGGGTTTCCTGTGTCCCTGGTTGTATAACACCTGGTACTTGTGGATGGAGCACTGGTCTAATGTTGGTACTTTGTACTAAAGGCACAATGCCAAGAGGAACTCCTGTGATAAATCTGTGATTGCCTTGTGGTAAGTGACCAGTATGGATGACATTCACAGTTTGGTTTGCCACAGGAAATCTGTTTGCCGATGTCTGAATATTCATACCAGCAGGGTAAACTGGGCCTATTCCTGGAGTGTACACAACATGAGTCAGTGGAGCACTTGAGCTGGCCACAGATGGGCGGACATTGAATTGCTGGAACTGCTGCATTGCCACTGTATTGAGATCTGCAGTATTTCTTGGGAACTGGCCCATCAAAGGAATACTGGCTGGATTAACCGCCACCCCAAGCGCTGGGATCATCAGTGGGGGAGGTGGAGCTGTAGAGGCACTAGTGGGTGATACTGTTGTAGTTGTAGAGGGCTGGGTCAGATTGAACTGAGAAAAATCACCTGTGTTTAAGGATTTGTCAACTTCACTTTCTCCTTTATTTAAGCGTTCTGTACTTTTTGCAGCTTCCTCACTGTTATCTTTTGTCTCAGTATCTGTTATGGTTGGTTGGTCATAATCTTTATTATTTTCTCCACCTTTGTTTTCAATTTCATCATTCTTTTCCACCAAATTCTCCTTCTCAACCGTATCTTTTTCAACTGTATTTATCTTTAGATTTGTTTCATCTTGTTCTATAACATTTTTCCCATCAACATTTTCTGTATTTTCTTTTTCAATTGCACTATCATTTACTAAGTTATCTTTTGGAGTGGAAACATCTTTTTCTGCATTCTCTTTCTCAACTGTTTCCACTTTTTCTGCTTTATTTTCTTCCAATGAACTTTCTGTTTGTTTTCCAATTTCTTTTGTCCTCTCTTCACCATCTTCAGTCCTTGCCCCCACTTCAGTATCCTCCCTCTGCTTTTCCTCTTCCTCCCTATTGATATCATTCTTTTCTGTTTGATTTTCCATTGACGCTTCCATTAAAACAGGTTCTTTTGCATCCTCTACATTAGATTCCCTTTCTTTTTCTATAGCTGGTACTTGATCTTCAACACCATGTCTTTTGTCTGCTTCTTCATCTGCCATTTGATCTGTACCTGCAGCAGGTTCCCCTTCATTCACTTGGGTACTAACTGTTGTGGAGACACCCTCCTCTCCAACCCTCCCCAGCCCTGTAGCTGCTGTTTCTCTCTCAGTGTCACTGGAGTCAGACAATCCCTCCTCACTTCCCGACTCAGAATTCTCTGACAGAGTCTCCTGAATTTTGTCTGTCTGCTCCTTCACAGGGCTGTTGGCTCTCTGGATGAGTTTTGATTTCAGGTTCCTTCTTACTGTCTGTGAGAAATCCACACTGGGCTCATCCATTTGCTCTATGATGTCATTGTTTTCATTCCTTACAACGACAGCAGGAATACTGCGGAGTTTTGTCTGTTTATCAGGAATGGCCTGTGTTACACTGGGTTCACCATTTTCACTCTCTTTAGCCCTTGAAGTCTCTTTTTCCTGGGCATCCATCTTGGCCAGTGATCTCCCCTCTACTGATGTAGTCAAGTAGTTCACTGAATGGTTTGCCTTCACCTGTAATGACACAAGTTTTATTCAAGTTTTAAAAACAACGAAAATGAGTCAGGATTAGTCATTCCTTATGCGGGAATTTTATCGACCTTGAGTTACTTCCCTTTACTACAATTGTAATAGAATCAACTTGGAGAAAAAACTTGCTTTTGTGTAGTTCTGCTTCTTAATACAATCAAACACAGTTATGAAATCTAAATTTTATATTAATTCAGTGTAATTGTATGGTAAATAAAGCCTTGTAAATCTAAATGCAAAGCCTATTACATTTGATCTCTTCCTTTACTTTGAGATATTGTACACCAAAAATTATTTGTCACCTCTTTTAGTTACAAAACAACTGTTTGAAATCAATCCACACCAATAAATTTTCAAGACCAAGGAAATGTTTCTCTACAAATGCTTTGCAAAAAAATGATTGGTTCACGTCAATTAATATTCACTAGATAAAGGAGATTGTGAAACTCGTGGATATTTCTCACACATGATTAATACTGTATAGGGGGAAAATAACTCGCGGTGTTAATATTCGCTATATTCACGGTGTTAACAAATCCGTGAATTCAAGAAACAGTGAATAAATTTTCAATAATCTCCATGTTTTATTTGGAAAATTGAGAATAGACTACGATAGATTTATATAGGTGTTCGTGCAGTCCATGGTCATTTCAGTAATTGCGAGTAGTACTGTCATTCAATTAATTTTAATTATCACGCTTTACTTTAATTCAAATCGGCAGATGATAATTTGTGCTTGTTCAAAAGCTGTTTAAATAGCCAACGCTACATGTTTCATCAATCTAAACACGTGGGCCATGGGTTTTGATTACCCGTGCGTAACTAATGTTACCACATGTATTTGTTACCCGCATTCTCATGCTTATTAGTTCATGTAGTTTTATCTACATTTTGGTTTTTAAAAATCATTCAAATAAATATCGAACTTACTGACGAAGGAAGTGTGGAAGGATATTATTTCGTAGAACGTAGAACTACATAAAAAGTTTTTTTTCGCTGCGTTGTATTGAAGATCTCGGGTGCACATGCACTCATCATAATATCAAAGTATAGGAAAGTCATTTAACTTTTAGGGACTATTAATAACTGCACTTGTGTTAATTAATTATTTATAAAATCTAACAATTTTGTAATAACTTACCCTGTTGTTCGTGAAATAAAGGCATAACACTGATTAATGTCGTTTACATGTAGCTATGGTATGGATTAAATGGAGACAAGGGAAGTAACTTTTATTACATGTACATACCAAATTCCGCGAATTCAAGAAACCGCGATCGTGTCAGATGAGAGAAAACCGTGAAAATTACAACCCGTGAAATTAATCCCCTATACAGTAGTTGGTTTACAGTAAAGGGTAAACAATGTAAATACAGGAACTTCATACTGAGTGTGATAATGAGGTGAATTTGATACAAATAAAAAGGTTTCTCCACTTTAATTAGTACAAAGAACATTGGAAGTGCTAAACTAAAAATTTACAACTACAAAAATTATTTTTTATCCACATGACAGCAGAAAAATGGCTTCAAGTCATTAATTTATTTATGACATGGTTTTATTTTTTGACACAACAGACCAAAAAAAATCTCTCAAACATAAAAAAATCATAAATTTTCCTTGATGTTTAAATAATATTAAAAGACTAGATATATAAAATTGTACACAACTTTTACCCTTAATATGACAAATCAATTCATGGAGAATGCTTAGAGCCCTGAAAGTTTAAGTACAAAATATCTCAAGGAGATCAATTTTTACATGTGTGGCAGTCAGCCGGGTTCGATCGCTGGTGGACAGTTAACTCGGTCAGTAGAGCACCTGACTGGAGATTCAGGGGGCCTGGGTTCAAATCCCTGTCTGGTCCTCTACCGTTAAATTTGGATTTTGGTGTCGTGCCATGCCCTGGAACTGACAGGTGAGAGGCCTGCAAGGGATGAACCTGGGTTGGGATCTTTGGGGGGCCCAAGACCTTTAAGCAGGCTTCGAAATTTACTATTTTCAACTTGCGAAATGTGAGTTAAAATATCCAATTTGCGAGTTAAAAATTTTGTAATGCGCAAAAATTTGTGAGCTGACTTTTTCATAGTAAATTTCACCCAGGAAAAAAATATCTGTTTCAGTCTTTCTCTCTTAGTTACTGCTTATATCTCCCATTTTGATTGATTGATTGATTGGATACTGTTTAACGTCCCTCTCCAGAATATTTCACTGATATGGAGACGTCACCATTGCCAGTGAAGGGCTGCAAATTTAGGCCTATGCTCGGCACTTACAGCCTTTGAGCATGGAGGGATCTTTATCATGCCACACCTGCTGTGACATGGGGCCTGCCAGGTTTATACGGTGGACGAGTAAACAGGTTAAAGTTTATGGTGCAGGATTCATTTCCAAGTAAGGACCGCCCCATTTAGTCGCCTTTTACGACAAGCAAGGGGGTACTGAGGACCTATTCTAACCCCGATTCCCACGGGACTCTCCCATTTTGAAATGAACAAGCATGTGAAATCTTTGAAGATCATGTCAACAATTAAGAAGTTTTTTAAAAGATGGATAGATGGAGGATTATTTTCAAAAAGCTTTCATTTTAAAATTGTGAGTTGTATTTTGAAATTTCGAGGTTTTTTTTTTTTTGATACTCGCAATTATTTGTAAGTTGTAATTTTAGGGAGTTTCTGACTGCCTTTAGGGGTGAAGAATATGGCTGTCAGCCTAGTTCAATTGCCAGTGCCCAGATGGCTTAGTCAGTAGAGCACCTGACTAAAGATTCAGGGGGCCCGGGTTCAAATCCTGGTCTGGTCCGCTACATTTTTCTCCTCTTCTGTTACACATGCAGCATTTTTTTTCCCTTATATAACTGGTACCGATAAACGGCACCGTTTCCTATGCCAAAAAACGATAATTTTTCCCAATTCTGTGACTAAAAATTCCCAATTCAACTGTGAAGCAAAAGATTACGACTAATTGTGACATCGCTTTTATTTTTTTTTCAAATGAAACATTTTTTGTACAAGCTTTGAATAATTGTTTATTTCCGCTGATATCGGTAGGATATCTGTTTATTGCCGCTGATAACAGGTAATCAACAAGGTGTTCATTACAGAGGCTTAAATCGAAAGTAGAGAAAGTCGTATTTTGGCGGGAGCAGTGGTTTAGACAGCGTAGTGTCATACATTTTGACAAATTGAAAGCATGATAATGTGAAAACAAGGGACGTTGATATAAAAACAATAAGTATTTGTTGTTTATTCTTTGAAACAAGCAGTAATAGGTAATTAAGTTGAAATAAATGCAAAATACGTTGCATTTGCATACATAACAGAAAATTCTCCTTTGTTTTTCTTCGATGCTATTTTTCCCAATTGAACCGGTACCGGACTCTTTCCCAATAGGTGGAAAAAAATCGCTGACATGCATTATGCACGCACTTATTCAAAGTTGAATACCATCATTGCACCGATGTACATATCAGTCTTCACGAAAACTTTTCTGAGACACTAGCCAGTAGGGCTAGTGGATTTGACAGTATTACTAGCCCAAAGAAATTTTTAATAGCCAACGAAAAAAAAGAAATGAAATTGCAGAATTTACTGTTGTATCACTTAAATTTCATACTGAATTCCTTTCCTTTTGTATTTCTTCTGCTAATAATTATTTTGTTTTTTCCCCTCATTTGAATCATAAATAAATCAGTTATCATTAATAAAGATTAAATTAATTTGAACAAACAAGTTTATTTTAGCTTTTTGATATGTACATGTATTGTACATTAGCCCCTTTTCTGGTCATTAGACTTCTCTCCCAAAGAAGTGACTTTTTTCATATAAAATTTTCAGATACATTGTTAATATAATTTGGATAACAATTAACATAGTTAACTCATGTAATCCTTTACTATTCAATTAAATGAGTAATCGAAATTAATTAAATGGGATTTCTGCATGTATTTACCCATAAACGATCGAACAGATGAAATTCGGATTAGAGAAAAATGACGATCGTTTTTATGGAAAAATAAACTATTAAGTAGTGCTACGTGAATTAGATGAGGGAGTTTTCTGAAGAATAGGACTACAGTGCTTTCATTTTATTTATTGGTTAAGATTTAAAAGCAAAAACTCATAAAGTACCTGCTTACTTTTCAATAGCCAGTCGGGCTACTTCTGAAACAATTTTTACTAGCCCAGACCAATTTTTACTAGCCTCGGGCGTCGGGCTAGTGAGTTTTCGTGAAGACTGCATATTTTGTACATTATGAAAAAGTAACATTTATAACTTTAACAAAAAGGTGTGATAAAGCAGCTAAATCAAGCTATTCTGAATAGTAACTTGTATAAACCCGATTAAATTACTGGTCTGATTTTTCAGGTTAGAGAAATGGGAAAGAAAATGCTTGGGTTGAGGTTTCTTTTATATAAGGACCGAAGTGGGAACAATCCTGTGCCGACCTGTTACACGTGACGATCTGAGGTGTCATTGTTTAGACATCCCCAATAAAGTCTTCCTTGAGAGAAAATTCGGGTATTTTACTATCGATTATTGATTTTCAGAACAAAATTTGTCTATATTTTGTTTTCACAATAAGTGCCGCTTCTGACAGTATGTTGGTGGAAATAATGGGCTCCCTTTGTAGTGTGTACATAATTGATGACGTGAAATATTCCGAGGTAAACAAACCATTTTGCAGGTTTTTAGAACAGTCACTCAACAATGAAAAATCAATGTCATATCACATGCACAAATTAAACAAGATAAAAAAATGTGAAATATACTTCTCTTACATTTTGAGTATTAGCTGCAGATCTATTTTTGCGTAGTGGTGGATGTTCGATTATTTTTGCTACAAAGCATGCAAAATTCAGAGTAAGCGTCTCTTTAACATTGTTGAAATGACCAGCTTCCCTTCTTAGTAAAACGCGCCTCTGTTAAGCGCTTTCATGACTCCAACATTTCAATGAGTAGACTAACTGGCAAATGGCAAGCACATAGGAGCACGTAGGCAGTTCTAAGAGACGTGGCAATAAAGTACGATATAGAAATATCCCTCTAAAAATATTAAATTAGAATTTTATTTTTGAAAAGAAGAAGGAAACGTGATTCATATTTTTTTACTTGTGTATATTTGTGATTATTCTTAAAAAATTATTAACGCCCGAGTCAGAGATTATGAAAATGTCTTTCTGTTTTGATTAATAAATTCATTGAAAAAATATAATGCATTTAAAAGGAAAATTACAATCAGTTCTTATATAATGAGGAAAAGATGTTCAAAGGAATTTGTCCCTGTCAAGAACCCAAATTTGGTTAAGGAAGTGATTTTATTAAAACAAAATTATATCACTAATTTTTATACAGAGGTAATGTTTATACCCTCTTTTTTTCTGTACATTCATACAATTGATAAGGCAGGGTCAGATAAATACCCTCAACACCGAATTCTTATCATATGTGTCTGTTTATGTATGCTGAGGTTCTCTACGGGTCATAGCGTCACCAATATTATACCCGAGGTCACGCCCACTGAATTCCCGTTTCCTGGTGATTGGGAAATAACTCGATTTTCTGTAGAGGTAAGCACATTTTAAATTTCATTATGATTTATAATAAATCAGTCAATGTTACTTGTAGATGTTTGATGCTAATTTCATGATGACAATATCGTGAAATGCATTTTTTTTTATTAAAATTTTTTCCATAACCATGTTGCATGGCATGTGCAACTAGAACTGAATTTCATCATGTTCACATTGATCTGTGTTCTAAAATGTTGAAAATAAAATAAATATGATATACTTAATTGTATATCTGTGCATTTTTAGCTGATGATAAATACATGTACATCAGTACATGTGTTAGTTCATTTACTGCAAGGGTATGAGATGTTCAAAGTGTATTTTAATTATTAATTTCATCATGTTTTAGTGGTAACCATTGCATATTATAATGGTATAGTATGTATAACTTTGTATTTTGGAATGTTTTATACACTAACCTGATGTATGAATATGATAGACATAAAATATCAACCTGACTAAAAAAGTACCTTTATGAATAAATATACATTGTATAAAAATCAGAAAAGTATATAATAAATGTATGAAAAAGACAAATACAGAAATTAAAGACATTTTTACTGTTCAACTTTTATACTAAGCAAATTACTTTCTTATTTCTTCTTATGATGAAATGTACAGCAAAAAGTACCACATTGCATGGTATCAGCTTACAAAAACCTTTGCTAATGTTTAAATATAGGCTCAAACAAATGTTACATGTTTATGTCAGCAATTTATAAACTATATAAACAGTCGATACTCTCAAGGTAAACCATTAGTAAATGGCCACAAAAGTGCGTAAATTGAGGGGATAGACATAGTAGAGGAAAATCCATTTCTAAAAATAGCCATGACAGACTAGGTAGTATTTCACAACGTTTCACAAGTTGAAGCTTACTGTTGAATTTTACCTGCATTTCACTTCTGGAGTTTTATTCAGGTATAATATCTTAATTTACTTTCTGATCAATTTATCTTTTATTTAAAAAGGGAAGCTATATAATATATAACTTGCATGGCAATTAAATCATGATTGCCAATTGCAGTGTTTTCCCTTTATTTCAAAGTAAAGGGTTTAATATCAAATGTTGCAAGCTAAGAGTTGATGTTTGTGAACAGAATCTCTGTCAACCTTGCAAAAATTTTGGATTTCCAAGTGGCTTTTTTTCAATTGAAGCAGTCAATTTGGCCGGTAGCCATTTTTTATGGAAAACACTGCAATATTGCCTCAATTTAAATAATTTAAAATTATTATCTGGCTGATATATAGTTTATTCCAGTCATCCAAACTGTATTTTGATATAATATGTCGAAGTATATCAGTGATAAATTGGTGATCATGCAGAGACAAACCCAATTTAGATAATGTATTAATTAAATCAATTAACATAATGTCTAACACCTATATTCATGATATTAGGCATGCAGTTATAGACTTATAATCACAGATTATTAAAAAAAGAGCTACAAACAACACTATAATATATTTTGTTTAAAAATGCAAGCTAGTTTTCTATTTCTCAAAAAGAAGTTTTTTTGCAATTTTTAATTCAGTTAGTATTTGCAGTTCCATTAAGTATAAGTATTTACATGTGTCATTACCTGCAAACGTGACCCATCTAGTATACTTCAGTAAATATTTAATATAAACTCCATTCAACAAATCTTTAAAATTTAGAGTGAGTTTATGATTTACTTGTGCCCTTGAACAAATGTTCGGAGTGGTAATATCCTTTAATCAATAGAAAAAAATCTGTAAATATAGAGTTAACTAGAAAATATTCTGAAATTATATTTTTTAAAAAAGAGAGAACCCCAAAAATTGCTTGTTGACGTAACCCAGACTTGCACGAATGACAAGTCATAACCTGATTAAGTTTAAATATCTTTGGTGTTTGTATTTAAGACCTTAGTACAACAAGTCTGGAATAATTTCTGAAATCAACAATTCTAGCTGCATTTATGTCGACAAGGATATTGTAACTAATTGATGGTTCGTTCAATTTTGTAAAAGCAGTACTTTTAATCAGAAGTACATGAATTTAAAAGTTGGTACATTGATTTATCAGAGTGACTGAACTGACTGAACGATTTAAGGGTATTTTTGTTGTTATTAAAGGTATAACTAAATAGGTTGGCAGAACCTACACATATATTTACCTATAACAATTTGACCGACATAACATACCTGCAGGTCATATATTATTTGGGAGTTTGCCAGTTTTGTGATCTCTGTCTTTAAGGATTTAGTGTGCTTTTTAAAATGAAGAAATAGACTGAAAATATTTATTAATGAGTTATCTACACCTAGTAAGTTCTCTCTGTGCAGGGTTTAGAATTATGTAATTTGAGCTATAATTATTGATCAAATTACATAATTCTAAACCCTATTAACATATAACTCTGATTTTCTCATGTTTCTTTTTATAGTACGCATACATGTTAACCTATTGTGATGAAAAATAGGGAGATTCAGACCTCAAAAGCGGTAGCATTGCGCGCGTGTTGTTTAACGCTTGGATTATCGATATCTTTCATGTAATATACATGTATATTATAAGCCTTAAATGAAATCAGGTACCTACACTAATTAATCTTAAATATCAACAGCAAAGAAGAAGACAGAAACACCTTAAGTTTGACATAAATTGTACAAATTCAAATATTTTTCATGCTCATCATTTTGCTTGGATTGGCTGCTTTACTTAGCCTTTTGAAGAGTGATCTTTGCCTAGAAGCAATAATTCTGAATGTTCATTCAGTTTTTAAACAAAACAAATGATGACATGGTTTAATCTGCATCTAAAACAAGTTCCTATCTTTCGTTTTATAACTTATAAATCAGATTTCCCGCGATGATCGAAAACGAAAGTAGAGATGTGCCACATGGCTTGGTCAATCGAGTGATTTCTATTGACTTTATTGATAAAGTTGTGAGCTTCTGTGCTTTTAAAGACAATGTCAAATGTTTTCATCTAATTCTTAAAAGCTGTATCTCCTTTTTCATGGCAGGGATGTTGATTAATTTATCGTAACCAATGTTCTACTCTAAATCCATCCATTACTTTAAAATGAAAATACAATAAACTACAAACACACCATTTGGATATAGCAACGACACTCAGTAGCTTTATTTGTACAGTGTACATAACATATGTAAAATATGAAAATCAATTTGTATACATGTGTATGTTGGATTGAATAAATCATGATAAAATTTAAACTTTATCGTGCTCTACGTGTCATCCTAAACTGGTATTTAAACCACTATTCACCTCTTATATTGCCTTGGTAACGAGACCGGTTCTAAAGAACCACGTGATATTCACCAGGTATTCGAATGAAAACCTTGTAATTCCGAAAAAGTAATTCATTATCACACCAAGTAGAAATTGATTTCCGTCTAATTCGTTCCTCAAACGAAAGAAATCATATTAATCACTGGTAGTCTTGTGTTGTTGTCGTTGTCAAATCCGTGCTTGAAATCTACGGTGCGTCGATTTACCCAAAAGGACCCAAAAGGACCCAAAAGAACCCAAAAGGACCCAAAAGGAACCTAAAAGGACCCAAAAGGAACCCAAAAGGACCCAAAAGGAAATAAAGAACGACCCAAAAGGACTTGAAATAAAGAGAATAAATGGATATATAATAAATACTTTCATATTTTATTAAAACTAAAACTACTTTTTTAGGGTAAGTTTGTGTTTGGGGTGGGGTTGGGAGGTACCCCCCACCCCCCACACCCATCCCCGATACCACATGCCTAGAACATGTCATTAAATAAAACTTTATTTCTTTATTTATTAAATATCATATAGTAAGATATGATAAAACAAAGGAGAAAGAGAATAATTACATTGTACTTTGTTAATTTCAGCTAAAAGAAATCAAAGCGTATCTGGCCCGATTTAGTGTTTGATGTGTAATAAAAGTCGTATGTTATTTCTTTGAGAAAGTTGCAACAATATAAATGTATGTTTGGCAAACTTTTAGGTAAACTTATAATATAATATTCATAATTTAATTCAAATTATTAATTTTCAATGTATATTAATATATTTATTTGAGTCCTATTGATTTCCTTTTGGGTTCCTTTTGGGTTCCTTTTGGGTCCTTTTGGGTCCTTTTGGGTAAATCGACGCACCCTGAAATCTATGTACAAAAAAAGCGTTTGTATGATTCCGAGTCAAATCACGCGATATTTAGCGAGATTTTATGAGAGTGGCTTCAAAAATGGATACCCAAGCGAACCAAAAATTTGTAGAAAAGCGGTAGATTTCTGAATTAAATCGGTAGGCGGGAGATGGAGTGAAAAAGCAGTAGACTCCCGCCTAAATCGGGAGAGTTAACATGTATGAGTACGGTGCATTCATTTTTTAATGTAAAAATAGAATTTATCTTAATTAGTAACATGACAGAAATTTTGTAATTTATTGTATAATTATTGTTCATTTTATTATATCGGTGTTGGTAGAAAAATGGGATGATCAGAATTTGTACTAAATATAGTCACAAATAGGAGACCATAGATTGAAGCAGGAAATTTGATCGCAGTTGATGTGATAGACGTGTTAATTTGAATTTCACAGCAGTTTCTCAAGCATAAACACCCAGCCAGTAAAAGTTTAAAAGTTTCAACTTCATAACTTTAGTTGATATCACCAAGAAGCTCTGATAATCTGATATAGGCTTTATTGTTAGTTTTATTAACAGACTCTTTTATTTTGCTTTCAGAGAGAAGATAAGACACAATGGCTAAGAACCCCAGTGACAGTATCTACCGCATCCCCCCGTACTACTTCCTCCATGTCTTGGACCAGAATCTCAATGTCACACGGCTGGAGATCGGGCCCCAGACCTTCATCAGACAGGACAATGAGAGGTATCACTGGAATTATTAATCAAAGGGCTGTCAGGCTTTACCCTGTCTTAAATTTCTCTTATAGAAAAAGTGGGAAGATACTCATGTAGCAAGAAATTGGGATTTGCAGAGCAGACTCGAATTTCTTTGAAATGTATTTAGTGATCATTTGATTCATAAGAAAGCTCGGTTTTGATCTGGAGGTTTAAATGAGCTCAGCACAATGCTAATCATCATAAACTAGGATAATTAGACAATTTTATGAGATGCATTTATTTGTAATTCTGCTTAGGGTTGTGTATTATAATTTTTATCAATTCTCTACAGGGTCGTGTATGGCCCAGAAAAGATGATCACAGTGCCACCTAGGCACTACTGCATCATCGAAAACCCAGTGGTCAAGGACAAAGAAGGAAAGGTCATCTATGATGAGAGTGGTCAGTCTAAACTCAGTCACGCTGACCTTGAAATTCGTCTCTCCCAAGAACCCTTCCCACTTTACCCAGGGGAGGTCCTGAAACAGGTCGTGACCCCATTGAAGGTCATTCCTGCCAACTCAGCCCTGAGACTGCGGGCTGTCCTCGACTTTGAGGATGCCTCTGGAGAAAAGCGAGTGGCTGGGGATGAGTGGCTCTTTGAGGGACCAGGGACCTACATCCCTCAGAAGGAGGTGGTCATTGAGGAGACCATCAGGGCAACAGTCATCCGTCCAAATCAGGCCATCCGCCTCCGAGCCAGGAAGGAGACGATTGACAGGGAAGGCAAGGCCAGGGTGACGGGGGAGGAGTGGATCCATAAAAAGACAGGAGCGTACCTCCCAGGAGCATACGAGGAAGTGGTAGACATCGTCAACGCTTACGTACTCACAGAGAAGGTATGTACAAGTCATTTACAAATTACAAAAAAAAAAAGAAACAAAAGATATAGAATAAAAGAGTAAATTTTTTTTTGTTATCTAATCATCTGGTAAATTACAAGAGGGGATTTTAGAGCAAAATTTGCTGAATCCAGGAAGAAATTTGAAAATAGCACATTGACAAAACACTAGGTGATATAATGAAAAAAGTACAAAAACACTAATATAATGAAAAAAGTACATCACACATAGTCCAACCTATGCCATCCCTTCTATGAGCCTTTAAGTCTTTGAATACAGAGAGCTATACCGTTATAAATAAAAATTGTAAACTGTAATTAAAGTTCATAATATTATATCAGAGGGTTTTAATGATAATTTGTAAAGATTAACAGACATCAAACTTTTAGGTTGAAAATCAGTTTTTGGACAATTATTTTTAAACAATTTTATTTTGTTTGAATTTCCAGAAAGCTCTGCACATGAGGTCCTTGAGGACATTTAAAGATGAGTTTGGAGTGGTGAGGAAGAATGGAGAGGAATGGCTGATCACAATGAAAGAATCAGAGACGCATATTCCTGGCGTCTACGAAGAGGTACGTAAATCCCATAAGGAAGTCCGACCAACTTTTATATCTGCCAAAATTAGCTTGGATCCCAAGTACTGAACCAGGAAGTATTGAGTTAAAAATACCAGACATGTCAATAACACAGGTGTCTGTTACAGCCTTGAAACTTAATTGTTCTGGCCAAATTTAGAATTTATATCAGATCTTGATGTTTACAGCAATTTTAAAATACGTACATTAAAAAACAACTGAATTTGGTGCTTTTTTTTACTTGCTTGTAAATAATTGTAAAGGATTTAAACTATCTAACAAAAATAAGGTGCCATTTCAGGAAGAATTCAATAGTATTATAAAAAAAATCTACAGTATTTATCAAGAATTACAGGGGAAACAACTCTACATTTCGTCAAAATTTCTTGAAGCTATTTAGTATACATGCTTCATTAAATGAAAATTCTATGAAAACATGAAATGAAATATCCAGTTTAAAATTCATATGCACATTGAAACCACATACTCCTGTAGCAAATTGTATTACAAAGCACATAAGTTGCATAATGAGAATTGTTCAAGCATGCAGGGATTATCATTTTTGTAGGGCATTGTATAACAAATTACAAAAGGTGTACATTACATATAAAATTTGCGCATTAGGTTGTGCTGTGACAATATGAAGGTCAACTTAATTATGTACACATTATCTAATTTGTGAAAAATACAGAAGCACTTTAACAGAATTCTTTCAAAGTAAAGTAAATCTGACTAAATTACAAGCAGGAATCACATCTTTTATTTTCAATAAAATCATAAGAAATGGATACCCTGAAGATTTAAGATTTCCTCATGCAAAGAAAAGAAAAAATATGTAATATTTAAAGGTGGGAAACTAATTTACCATATTTACTGGACTATAACTTTTATTTGTTTTTCTAGGTTGTTGGAGTTGTAAACATTACAACTCTGACCTCCCGACAGTACTGTGTTATCCTTGACCCCTGTGATGAGTCAGGTCACCCACAGCTGGGAAGGAAGAAGCTGGTCAAGGTGAGAGGTCATGAACCCATGTACAGGTTCAAGTAACTTAATCATGAGTAATGGAGTAAACGGGAAGCCAAAATCTTTCAGTATATAATTGTTACTGAAAAAATTGTATGTTATTATGGATTTTCCAGTAGCTATTTATTATAAAGATAAGAAAGTTTAATATAAATCATGGCCTCGTGTAAAATGTAAAACTCTTTTGCTTAGTGTGAAGTAGTCCCACCTGGTTGCCTTGTTAACAGATTTCTTTTTCTTCATCAAATATTTATGCTTTGTTTTACAGGGTGAGCGTTCCTTTTTCTTGCTGCCAGGTGAGAGACTGATGAAGGGAATCCAGAATGTGTACGTCCTCGGTGAAGACGAGGGGCTCATTCTTCGCGCCACAGAGTCCTTCAAAGACGCAGAAACAGTACGCATTACTATTAATAAAGAAACAATTAAATTATGTTCTTAGGTAAAATGAATTCCTTTTTCCCTTTCAGTAACTTCATTTTGGGATAGCAGCATAGATATTAAAGTAATACACGCTATTTAACTTTCGTCACTTAAATTACGGTTTGAAATTTATACATTTTGATTTATCAAAGTTATGAATATCCTGTAAATTACACAATTGAAAAATGAAGGTCTCATAAAGCTGGCAAGTTATATTTATTTATTATCCTGCAATTAATGTAATACATCGGTTTAAATAAATGCATCACATGACAGCGTCGCTACTTTTAGATCCATATACAAAGATTGCGTCATGAAAAGGAGGTAGGTCATTTGGGATACAATAACTTTTGACATAGATGGCAAACGTTTTGCTCTTAAAGATACATGTACTTATCTTTTAATGTAACCAGTGTTATCCATTTACTCTGTAATGACAGATATTTAAGGAATGTTTTTAAGTTTTGTGTGAAATTCAGTTATTGATGTGTAAATCACACAGACTTGTCACCTAGGCATATTTCATGAAGTTTGCTAAAATCACCAAAAATATACTCAACGTTTGAATTTTTTGCTGCCCTATATTGTTACATTTTTACTAACGTTTCTGTAGATCATTGTGACGTCACATTAGCGCACGTTTCTCCATGTATACTTCCGCGCTTGAGTATACACAAAAATGGTATTCAAATCAAGTTCACAATTGGCTTACTACCATAAATACACAGCAGATGTAAATACATGTATTAATATTTTAGTCCAAGTGCAACGTACCCCCTCGTCTATGATTTCCTGCGGATATGCATATTTACATACTCTTTACACACTTCCTTCAACGATATATATGAAAAGACTGAATTCTTATTTATAGATATAGCGTACTTATTTTGTAATTACTACGACTTATTTTGTCAAACTTTGTGGAAAGTATGAATTTTTTTTATCATATTTCATGTTTCTCAAGTTATTTAATCATTTTGTTTCATGCAACAAATTTGGCATTTATATAGCGTGTATTTCTTTAACTATTCTCTCGTACAAAATATTATAATCTTCTGAATCAAGAATTAACCATCTTGAAAATTTTAAAGTTAAACCTTAAATGTCTTAGTAACCCAAAAGGTGAATTTTATTTGGACCATTAAAACTGACGTTAATAATATTGTGTCTGTGGTGTATTGACAGAATGAGGAGCTTCGCCCCGGAGACAGGTGGATGATCCGCGGACCTAAGGAGTACGTCCCCCCGGTAGAAGTGGAGGTCCTGATGAAGAGGACGGCCATTCCCCTGGACGAGAACGAGGGTATCTATGTCAGAGACATCAAGTCCGGAAAGGTCAGCTATAATTGTGTGTTGTCTTTGGGTTAGGGTTTTATTCTTAAGTTTCATTATATTGGATTATAATTTAATTCTGGTTGTAATGCTGTATTTGATTGGATAAAAAAATTACTTTATATTGTATAAAATGGGTGCCAGCTTTGTCATAATTACTTGTGTCAAAAACGTATCAATCTGCCTGACATTGCATTCAAATTTTGTACAAATTGAAGTCATTTATTAAGAACAATCATCTTTTTTTCTTGCACGAAATGAATGAAAATTAAATTATATGGAATGAATTTAATAGTTACCCATTTTACACAGTATAAACTGGATTGGAACAGTTCATATCTAAATTTTTGAAATTTATTTACATGTCCTTAAATGCTTGTTCAATGCTTCAAGTAGATATTTGATATTTCAATATTTATATTGGGTGTGTGACAGGTGAGAGACGTAAAAGGAGAAACTTACATGCTGAGTCATGATGAAGAACTCTGGGAAAAGGAACTTCCTCCTGCTGTGGAGACTCTACTAATGGCAGGAAAAGACCCCCTGGCTGACCGCGGTGACCGCACTAAGGGAGGTGAGAAGGGGGAGAAACGAGACAAGACAAGGGTGGTAACCTTCAGAGTCCCCCATAATGCAGCAGTACAGATCTACGACTACAAAGAGAAGAAAGCCAGGTAACAAAATGTTCTGTCTTCTGTTCTTAGAGTAAAAGGACCGTTATTTTGAGCAACTAGAATTCAGAAATTCTCTTGATAGGTTCTCTTTAATACACTGTTAAAATATCATTCTTCATTATCATTATACTGGGTACATCCATGAAAAAGGATTTTCGAACCTGACTTAAAAAATATTTTAAGGACACACCATTCAAAATTTCATGAAAAAAGTTTATTTAAAATTGTAAAATACTTTTACTCATGAAAACAGTTTATTTAGAATTGTAAAATACTTACCGGTTTACCAAGTCTTGGAGAACATTTTACAATTGCCTCCTTGTTTTCTGTATAGAGTGATCTTCGGACCTGAGTTGGTGATGCTTGGTCCAGATGAACAGTTCACTCAGCTCTCCCTGTCTGGAGGGAAACCCAAGAAACCAAATGTCATCAAATCCCTGTGTCTTCTGCTGGGACCCGACTTCTGTACAGACATCATCACCGTGGAGACGGCTGACCATGCCAGGCTCTCCCTACAGCTGTCCTACAACTGGCACTTCGAGGTCAAGGACAAGAAAGATGTGATAGATGCTGCCAAGATTTTCAGTGTCCCTGACTTTGTGGGAGATGCTTGTAAGGCCATTGCTTCCAGGGTCAGAGGAGCTGTTGCTCAAGTTCAGTTTGATGATTTCCACAAGGTATGTTCTCCAAAGTTTATCAAGGTTTCTCAGCAGTTTGTGTAAATTTTTGGAGAAATTTATACTTTGCTAATTTGAAATATTTAATGAGCTGTATCTCTGTGTTATAGAATTCTGCTAGAATCATCAGGTCATCTGTGTTTGGGATTGATGACAAGGATAAGGTTCGAGATCAGTTCAAATTCCCCCAAAACAATCTTTGTGTTACAAGCATTGACATTCAGTCTGTTGAGCCTGTTGACCAGAGGACCAGGGATGCTCTGATGAAGTCTGTTCAGTTGGCTATCGAGATCACCACCAACTCACAGGAAGCCGCAGCTCGCCACGAAGCTGAGCGTCTGGAACAGGAGGCCAAAGGTCGTCTGGAGCGCCAGAAGATTACAGATGAGGCTGAAGCTGAGAAGGCAAGGAAGGAACTGCTTGAGCTCCAGGCCAATAGTGCTGCAGTAGAGAGCACAGGTCAGGCCAAGGCCGAGGCCCAGAGTAGAGCCGAGGCAGCAAGAATCGAGGGAGAGGCAGCAGTAGAACAGGCCAAACTCAAGGCACAGGCCATGAAGATTGAGGCTGTAAGTAACTGTCATCAACAAAATTCATTAAATGATTCAAAATTTTCCTTTATATTTGTAACTAAAAAGCATTTTACCTTAATTACCTCCTTCACATTTCAAAAGTGAAAAAAAGGCTTATATGTTTATTTAGTGTATACTGCCACCAAAATTAATTTCAAAATTATTTGTTCTCAGGAATCTGAACTGGAGAGACTTACAAGAGCTAGAGAGGCAGAGCTTAAGTTCCTTGCAGAGCAGAACGATTTGGAGCTCAGCAAATCTCGAGAGGTGTCTGAGATTGAGACGTCCAAATTCAAGAGTCAGGTGGATGCTATCGGAGCCCAGACTCTCCAGGCCATTGCCACCGCTGGACCAGAGATGCAGGTCAAACTGCTGTCTGCTCTTGGCCTGAAATCTACTCTGATTACAGACGGAAACAGCCCTATCAACCTCTTCAACACGGCTAATGGTATTGTGGGAGGAATGGTCCCAGCCAAAAGGTCGCGCCGCTCTCCACCAGAGTCTGATGATGAATAGACAAAGGACTGAGGATTTTTTAATGCAGTTCAGAGTGCAATGATTGAGTGTTGAAACATTGTGTTTATGTGTAGAAGTAGGTGTTATTCATTTCTGTAATGCATGACACATAAAACTTAATGTATATATACAAAGAAATTTAATATCATGGCAGCCTACTATTGTGTATTTTTGCTATGTTGGAACATCATCATTTTTATTTTTTCATTTGTGTACCTAATTTATAGTATTTTCATATTAATATAATATCCGTTAACTGTGATAATATGGAAACCAATTATACTTTTGTTGTTATTTGTGATAGGGTAACTTTTTTTGAGAGTTTGAATTTGATTTCTGCACATTTAATGTTTTGCAGACACTAGAATTTTACCATGTACACACTGTTTAAACGCAAGCTGTGTACAGAGTAAAATGCATTTTTTGTTAGATGCTGTCTTTGTAAATTCTATTTTCTTTCATTTTTATAGATATACACCTTTTTCTGTTGAAATTTGTACTAATTTATAAATGCCCTTAAAATTTATGTTGTATTTTGTTATTGTTTACTTTTTGAGAGTTTCAGAACCTGCCAATCGGGTGTTGAGTAAGAATTTTTTGCAGACAGACACGAAAAAATCTAGAAACTGTATACCCCCACAGGGCATAAAAACTAGATAGACATTCAACAAGAACCCCTTTCCTCATAGTGACTTTTAATGGGGTGGAGGTGGGGGCGGGGATGGTAATAAAATATTTTTTAACCATGAATAATTTCAAGTTCCATTTTCATGCCCCCCTTAATTAAAGATTGAACTTTGAGTTTGACCCACTTTTACAAAAAAAAAAAAAAAAAAAAAAAAAAAAACAAACTTTAACCTTCACCATAACTTTTGAACAGTTAGCACTGGGCCTTTCATATTTCTCAGGTATATTCCTTGTTACAAGACCTTCCTTTGGATGCCAACAATTTTGACCTTTGGACCTTGACCCTAAAGTTTGACCCACATGTAGTTAATCTATCATGAAAAATGGTTGAATTTTGTTGAAAATTCATCCTTTTTGACACTCTTGATTTCTGAGAAAAAAAATTTTTCAAATTTTATAAAATTTTCTGTCAGTTGATGCAAATTTCCCATTATAATGCTGCACAATAAACTTTAAAGTTATTCTTTTAATGCTAATTAATGGTTGATACTTTCACAAGAGTGAAGAAACATAAATAATAAGAGATAACAGAGCTCACCTCAACGAATGTTGTTTATAAGTAAGGTCTACGGCAAAGTCCCACAATTAACTAACATTCTAGAAGTTTACATCCCAAAATGCAAATTTTTTTAAATTTTGATCTGATAGGAATAGACATATCCAAAAACTTCAAACTAGTCACCCATCAAGAAAATTAATGTAATTCAAAAGTTTGAGAGTGTTCATCCCTTGATGCATCATCTATGCAAGTTTGATTTATATAGGCCTTATAGTTTATTGGTGATAGACCTGCGCCCATAACTTTTACCTGATCCATTATCTGGAAAATGTATGTCGGATCCAGCATCCAAAGCAAGCCCATTAGTGTGCATCCTTAGATGCATCATTTATGAAAGTTTGCTCAAACATAGGACATGATATACTTGCTTTAGAAGAACCTGCTCCAAAAACTCTAACCTGTTCACTCATCCATAAAATATAGGTTAGATTCGACATCCAAAGTAAGCCCATTTGTGTGTCTCCTTAGATGTTTCATCCATGCGAGTTGCTTAACATAGCATGGCTCATATACTGAGTAGTTATTTGGAACTGAGACCTGCATGAAAAAATAACCTTTTCACTCATCCAGAAATGAAGGTCAGATCCAGCATTTTCTATGACATCAGCAGTTTATGACTCCCAACCACATCTTGCACAGATGGGTTTATAGGACGTGCAGCAGTAAAACTGATAAGCCTAATCTTCAATATTGATTATTTTCTTTCATAAAAGGTACAATTCAGCTCATGGAAATGCAAGAATTTGCATCATGTCCTAGCTGCAGAACTGTAGCGTTATGTATTTATATATTAGTCTTTGACCATGATGCTACAGATCCCGCAATGCAAAAATTATGCAGTTTACGGAGACATTATCACAAACAGGCACGTAGCAACCGGGGGGCCAGAGGGGGCCTGGTCCCCCCACTTTTTTCGCCAACATTACCTTTACTATAGAATATGTCCTTTGAAAAGATGGTTGGCCCCCCACTTTTTATCACAGTATATTCATAGCAGGGAAATATAGAAAGGACTTGGAAGTTAAAGGAAGTTGGCCCTGCAAAAAGTTACCCCCCCCCCCCCCACCACCACCACCACCACCACCACGAAATAGGATTTTGGAGTTTGTGCAATTTTTCGTTTTTTTTTTTTTTTTTTTTTTTTTTTGCTTGTCAACTTTTTTTTTAGGTAACTAAAAAAAATTTTCTCAGGTTGGCCCCCCCCCCCACTTTCAAAATCGATGCTACGTGCCTGCCAAACAATGCGCAAAAAAACATGCAATGTAAATTGTACATTTTTTTTTCATTGCGGGATCTGTAGCGTTATGGTTAAAGACTAATACTAGTATATAAAACCATAACGCTACAGTTCTGCGGCTAATCCTGTCCCTGCTTGCAGGTCTTGAGACCCATACGTCCTCTGCCTGATTAAATACTGTGAAATCACTAATTTTCGTGAGGTATAATTTTCGTGGTTTTCAAGGTATGAAGAAATCCACGAATTTATGTCCACCACGAAATGCAATTTCTCACATGTATTACTACCGATCAATTCGATCTTCATCCACGAAATCAAATCCCCATGAACCATGCAATAAATACTCCTCAAACTACGAAAATCTGCCCCCTCGAAAATATGTGATTTTACAGTACACTCTCTTCAGATGGATCCGAACCTTCCCTGGATGTTTTACCCCCTAGATCATAAAATCCTCTAGTTGGATCAACCATTATTGCCTAACCAAACAGCGCTTTTACTGTAGTATGTGCCAGGCCCAGCACAATGAATTTTCGACCACTTCAGTCCACAGGTGCTTGAGGACAGGACCCCCCCCCCCTTTCGATATAGAACCTTGCGCCTTTTTTCTCAAAAATTATCTTTCAATGTCATATTATATTTGTGATTTAAAATCTATATCAACAATTCGAAAAATTACCTAAAACAAAGTTAACGTTTTATAATTCTACCCTACATTCGATGTATAAAAATCAACATATAGAGTGGGGTCAAAAATTTTATAAAATGTTAGTTTAAGCTTTTCTGAATAATCAGAATTGATAGGATAGATTATATCACAAATGTTTCATCAATATATAATTTATGTGAAAAAAAGTCTAGAAGGCCCGGGGGTCTATATTGCTTGGGAGGGGGGTGTCCTGTCCTCAAGCACCTATGTTTCAGTCAGATGTCGTACAGCAGCTCTCCACAATGATTAAACCATTCCTAAAGTCTGGAACAGCTTCCACACAGACTGAGCTGCATGGGAAATTCCTGCAACCGACCTATTACAGGAAACAGCAACTCCTTCCCCTTCTTCCTGCAGGCATCAATAGTTTTTTTCACCCTTCAAAACAATGTTGACAACACGCGACTTCTTGCTGCTGCTCCTTTTCCTGTTCTCTCTTTTTCCTTCGGTTTTCAAGTGATTGAAGGTCTTCACACCACTGCGTACCCAGGAGAATTTCACTTGTAGTTGAAAGTAAAAGAATATGAACATGGTGTTGTATTAAACAATATAAAAAGTAGATAATATTTGTTAGGAATAAAAATGGTTTGGACTCTAACTTGAAATTACACTTAATGCGAAATTGGACCCTTAGTAGTCTTCAAAAAAATTATTCACAATTGTTGCAGGGGCGTAGTATCCGGGGGGGCCAGGGGGGGGGGGCCTGGCCCCCCCACTTATTTTCCCAACCTTACTTACACTATAGGAAATGTTAATTCAAAGCCTGTTTGGCCCCCCCACTTTTAGAAATGTACCGAAAATGTAGTATACTAAAAGTAGTTGACACTGAAAAAGAGTTTACCTACCCCCCCCCCCCCCCCCGAAACAGGATTTTCGACTTCGGGCAACTTTTACCTTCTTTTTTTTTTTTTTTTTCTTTTGCTTGTCAACTTTTTCAGGTAAGTAAAAAAAATTTTTTCTCTGCCTGGCCCCCCCACTTTCAAAAACGATGCTACGCCACTGTGTTGCAACCCTCACGAAAAACTGTGCCTAGATTCCTTAACTGTAACATATCAAGTTTTCTTCTTTTTCCACAGAAAGCTGTACTTAATTTTAGACTGTTAGCGTGATGTTAATTCTTTTCTAGAATTCTCTCCATGCTCAGATATTCTCTTGTAAGTTTACAAAGGGCAAGTTGCAGTCCTCATCAGTCTCAATTCTTTTCTCGCACTTTTCTTAGCGCCTTAATTCTCTCCGTGCCAGGAGGTACACAAAGTCTGATAGTCTCATGAACACTTTTTTATATTGTTGTTGTACTCAACTTGTTTTGATTTCGACAAGTATATTTAACCAACACCACTTTTGCCGAAGAAATCATTTTATAACTCTCAAAATTCAATCTCAATGAATACTTGTCACACAAATGCTAAATTTTGTCATCATTCAAGAGTATTATTTCTTGAAGGTTTTCAACTGCTGCAGCACACAAAATTCATATCAAAGGAAATATCTCATACACGCGAATAGGATTTCCCGCCTCAATGTCATTAAAATTACAATCGGGTTCGATGATCAAGAAAATTGTACTCAGCTCATTTCCTGCCTTCATTTTCTGATTTTCGGAAACTCTGTGGTAACAGGAGTCTATTCTGATTAGAGTAAGTAATGCTGTTTAACCCTAATCAGTTATTGCTATTTTAATCAGTTAGGCCCTAATTCAATTGGTGAAGTTTTTGTTATAAAAATGAAATAATTAATATGCAAAACTTTAACTGTTAAAATTTTTACATTTTTCATAACATTTTGTATAATTTATGCACTCAATATGCACTGAAATTTTTAGACAATTAGCCCCTTCACGATAACTGCGGTACTAATCTTTTGCAGGGCAAATTCCTAACAATTGGTGAAGTTTTTGTTGATAGATAATTAAATGACGTACACAATTACTTTTACGTCATATTTCAACGAAATATATAATTTTGCCGGGTGCGTCGATTTACCCAAATGGACCCAAATGAACCCAAATGACGACCCAAATGGACCCAAATGGACTTAGTTGGCGACCCAAATGGACGAAATTATGATGAAATAGTAATTTAATGGCATTATCCTGTTATTGACTTCGCGAAGTCAATAAGTTTTACGTTGTTGACGTTAACGTCAAATTCATCCCAGGTCATTTTTATACTTCCAACATTCTCAGATTTTCATATCACTTATAACAGTTTCAATGCTGGTGTCGTAATGTTCACATTGTTTACAACTATTTTACCCACTGAAGTGAATCAAATAACAGGAGTAGATATATCGTTCGACAAGGGTATTTAAAGCCTTTGTATTTCACCATGAAGCGAATCACATAACGGGAGTAAATAGCGACGCAAGTAAAGCCCAGAACTAATTTGATTCGCGAATCAAATAACAGGAGTATATATAGAGAGACGGAGGTACTATTTAAAGTGTATGTATTTCACTGAAAGCGTATCAAATAACAGGAGTATATATAGAGAGACAGATATCATTCTAAAAGGTACAAGAAGGGGAAAATTTCCCCGGGAAAAGGGTTTCTTTGGGGGAGAGATAAAATAAAAATGGGGCTTGGTTTTTTTGGGGGGATCATTCTTAAAAATGCACGTTTTAATGAAAAGCGAATCAAATAACAGGAGTAAATAGCGACGCAAGTAAAGCCCAGAACTAATTTGATTCGCGAATCAAATAACAGGAGTATATATAGAGAGACGGAGGTACTATTTAAAGTGTATGTATTTCACTGAAAGCGTATCAAATAACAGGAGTATATATAGAGAGACGGATATCATTCTAAAAGGTACAAGAAGGGGAAGATTTCCCTGGGAAAAGGGTTTCTTTGGGGGAGAGATAAAATAAAATGGGGCTTGGTTTTTTTTTTTTGGGGGGGGGGATCTTTCTTAAAAATGCACGTTTTAATGAAAAACGAATCAAATAACAGGAGTAAATAGCGACGCATGTAAGCCTAGAACTAATTTGATTTGTTCCATTTATGCATTATTATTATTATAGAATAAACGGAATAAAGTCATAAAAGTAAGGTGCAAGAATTCATAATTTGGTTTATTCCATTTATGCATTATTATTATAAAAAATAAACGGATTAAAGCCATAAAATTAAAGTACAAGAAATCATAATTTGGTTTATTCCGTTCATGTATTTCTCCAAATATGTCGCCATAAGGAATAAACGGATTAAAGCCATAAAATTAAAGTACAAGAAATCATAATTTTGGTTTATTCCGTTTATGCATTTCTCCAAAATATGTCGCCATAAGGAATAAACGGGATAAAACCATAAAATTAAAGTACAAGAAATCATAATTTGGTTTATTCCGTTCATGTATTTCTCCAAATATGTCGCCATAAGGAATAAACGGATTAAAGCCATAAAATTAAAGTACAAGAAATCATAATTTTGGCTTATTCCTTTTATGCATTTCTCCAAAATATGTCGCCATAAGGAATAAACGGAATAAAGCCATAAAATTAAAGTACAAGAAATCATAATTTGGTTTATTCCGTTCATGTATTTCTCCAAATATGTCGCCATAAGGAATAAACGGATTAAAGCCATAAAAGTAAGGTGCAAGAAATCATAATTTGGTTTATTCCGTTTATGCATTTCTCCAAATATGTCGCCAAAAGGAATAAACAGAATAAAACCATAAAATTAAAGTACAATGTATCATTATTTGGTTTATTCCGTTTCTGTATTTCTCCAAAATATGCCGCCAAAAGGAATAAACGGAATAAAGCCATTAAATTAAGATGAAATAAATTTAATAGCAAACAGGTCATCATTGTCTTATGTAGTTATTGTCTATATTTAGGCAATTCTTACATCGGGGAAAAAAGTAAAATCACGTAAGAACCCAAAGGTTAGAATTTGACGTTAACGTCAACAACGTCAAACTTATTGACTTCGCGAAGTCATTAACAGGATAATGCCAATTTAATTATTTATAGTGATGTAGCATCGTTTTTGAAAGTGTGTGTGTGGGGGGGGGGGGGGGGGCTTTTCAATGAACATTTTTAGTAGTAAAAAGTTATCTCTGGAAAATAGGTGGGGGTGGCCCTCCTGTTGGTACGTACCTGATTTACTCAAAAAGATTAAAACTTTGTGAAACTTTCCGATTGGTAAACTCTTATATTTTAAAATAATTCGCTTAGATGTAATGAATAAAGTACACATTTTTGCCTATACAATATTTTGAATTTTTGTGATAAACATAAAACACATTCAGCAGCTTTTATTTTATTTATTCTGAATATTCAGCGATATTAATATCTAAATGCAAAAATAAATAATTTTATTTTAGGCCAAAAAAAATAATAGTCTTGTTACTTGCTACCAGCCTGAAAAAAATAGGGTCGGTAGGTAGGAAAATTATTTTATTTTTTAAATTTATTTTATTTTTTCCAAAGGTATTTTTTGGATTTGAACTACTATAAAACCAAATAAAACATGTCATAGCTAGGTCAATTTTATCTTTTGAAAAGAAATTTCATGTCTTTTGATGCACAACTCAAGTGGAATTTTACAAAAGAACATATTTTAAACATATATTTCATGAAATAGAATTTGAATATATACTTTTTTCACTTCTGGATCATAAAATTCCTGCAATTTTCATGTTTTTCCCCAAAAGCACAGGGTTCGACACTAACATTTTTACCTTGGTGGACCGCTGGTCCACTTGTCAAAAATTTTTGGTGGACCTTCTTAATATCTGGTGGACCTTTATAAATGTTTGAATTAATGAATGAATCATTACACAAGGCGTTAATTAAAACTAACTGTAATATATATATCGATTCCAGACAGACTTATAAAGTATAAATCTAACCAGTCAACAAAATCAAATTCATATTAAGGACTAGTCAGTTTTTTTTCAGAAATATTTTAAAACTTAAAAAAAAACTATTAATCTATAAACCAAAGAAATATTTAAATAATTATCATTAAGGTACAATGGTGAAAACCTTCATTTATTTCGCTTCTACAGGTAGATTGAATTTAAAACTCCAATTATTAATTAATTTGTTTAATTATTAAACAAGTGAATTTTTCATGTATCCATGGCTAGGTCATTTTTTTACTACGGAGCAAGACTGACATAGGTACATGTATCTGTATTAATAAATCATTTTCTAAATTTATTATTTATTCACATAAGTAGTGATATAATATGTATATCAAGAAAAGAAAATGAAACTGCAGGTAATAGTTTATTTAATGTAAATTATGACTGTTTGAACATCTATTTAAAAAAAACAATGCATAAGTGCAGCTGTCAATCAACTCTAATTATCTCCAACAGTGTGCGTTCAGGCGTGAAGCGATTTCCTGTTACCCAGTGAAATTTTCACACCTTTCTGTGCATTACGTAAACAGGGGAGAGACTGGCTAATTTGGCACGGATTTTTCATGTTTATTCACGGTCCGTGTTGAATGTCCTTGCATCTCAATATTATTGTTATTATTGGAATTATCAATTTTACATGTAAAATATATCAAGTTACTTGCCCCCCACCCCACCCCCACCTCATTACCTAAACATTATTTACATGTATATTTAATTCTTGTATAATAAAAGTATGGAGGAATTAATAATTTGAGTTACGGATTTCGATTTAAAGAAAAAGAAATCCTGAAATTTCACTGTCTTTAAATATGGTGTTTAAATTTTAAGTGGACCGACGGTCCACCTAGTCCTGAACATTTGGTGGACCTTCCAATTTTTTGGTGGACTCGGGCCGCCGGTCTACCGTTAGTGTCGAACCCTGAAAAGCAGAAAAAAACTTTAGGGTCGGGTGCAAAAAAATAGGGTAGGTCGGGTAGCAGGAAACAAGACTTTTTTTATTTTTGGCCTTAAATGTATAGATGCATTCTAGTTTTGAAATAAAGTCTACAGAAGTCCATTTGGGTCCATTTGGGTCGCCATTTAGGTCCATTTGGGTAAATCGACATGCCGAATTTTGCCCTGCAAAAGCGGCGCGTAGATTTACCCAAATGGAAACAAATGGACCCAAATGGAAACACAAATGGAAATCAAATGGAATATCAAACATGTATTATTGTATTTTAATACTTATTTAAAATGATGAAAATAATGAACTTACAGTTACAAATGGATTTTTTTTAAAATTATTAATCTCTAATATTGTATTTTGAAGCATGAAGTTTTGATAGTATTCTATATATCGGCAAAATTATTTGAGTTTCCATTTGGGTCCATTTGGGTTCCATTTGGGTCCATTTGGGTAAATCGACGCACCCCTGCAAAAGAGTAGTACCGCAGTTATCGTGAAAGGGTCTATAGCAAGTCTCGTCACAGGCATCTTTACAGGGGGTAGAATTTTTCGATATCTTGCTTATTGATAATCTCAGAGAAATCCGTAGTGTTGGAGACTAAAAATTTTGGTCTGGTGAGTGGTCTCTTTCCATAGAGACACCCAGGGACCTATGTACTAATAGTGTAAAGGTCCCTGAGACACCAGACCAAAATTTAGTCTCAACGGATTCGCTGAGAAAGTTTTTGAGCGACTGATTGATAAAAACTCAGGTGCCTGTGCTCGAATTTTTTCAAATATATGTCACAGATGGTGAAAAATCAGGTCTCAGCTGGGAATCGAACCTAGGGCCTCTGAGTGACCTATTTCTTAAAATTTTATCATTTACTTTGTCAATAGCATGGATATTTTATTAACTGCCTAAAATAATCTTAATGAAACCCTGTCAATTGACATGCCTTCAGTCTTTTAGATATGATGACACAAAGGTACCGGTAGATCTATAGGCTACTACGACAGCATTGGAAAGTTCATCAGGAAAGTGATAAGAACCCCTTCAGCCTATTTTTATGTAAAAATTACAATAATTTCTTTTGGAAATCAAAATTCTTGTTAACATTTTCAGTAGGGTGCAAGTGACTGAAGATGAAGACTGTTCCCAGATCTCTGCTCCTGCTGGGTGTGCTGACAGCCTTGACCCTGTTTATCTTTGCCTACCTCTCCAAGAAAGTCGACCATTTTCAACAACAAGAATTATTAAAGGAAGATATTTCATCAACAACTCATGATAGGTTTGACAAAATGACAAACACGACTAATCATGTGTTATCTGCTGCGATGAGGATCTCAGAGCGAGGACAGAAAGCATTGTTTGTGACTCTGATAAATGACGCCTTTCTTCCTTTCACCTTCAGCTGGCTGTGTAACACACAGGGGATGGGAATCCACAACCAGGTTCTCTTTATCACAGGAGATAAAGAAAGTGCAAGGAAAATCAATGAGAAATGGCCAGCGGTCACTGCAGTTTATCTGGACGGGGTTCACTCGGGGAACCAGGAGTACAGCCACGTGGGGTACGTGGAGATGATGGTTCGCAGGTCTGAGATTCTTCTGCAGATTCTGGAGAAAAATATTCCAATTTTTTTGTTCGAAGTAGACTGCATGTGGATTAGGAACCCTCTTAAAAATCTCCAGAGTTACTCTGATGTTGATATGGTTGTTAATGCAGTGTCTGAAAGAAGTAAGATAATTGCTGGAGGATTTCTGTATCTGCATCCAACTGAAGCCTCAAAACAAGTGTGGAGAGCACTGACCAAACAATTAACAGATCTAAGAAAGAAGATTAAAAACTCACCAGACACAAAGCTTATTAGTGAATCGGAGAATGACCAAATATACCTATCTCAACTTGTGTTTTCAAATTATGGAGGACTGAAGTTCAAAATTCTATCCACACAAGAATATGCCGATGGGAAATGGTACAAACTTTCAAAGGAAAAAAGAGAACAACTAAAACCTTATCTGATAAACAATAACTGGGTCATAGGGAATGCAGCCAAGATCAAAAGAGCAAAGGAATGGGGACATTGGTTTCTGAAGGACTCTGGGGAATGTGACCAGGACAGGGTCCAGAGGGTTGTAGGGCAGGGCCTTGTGTGAAACGAATGCATGGAAACTACATGTACTCTACAGTGATCCTTAGTTTATCAAAGAAATTTCTGTTTTTTGGAGGGGAGGGGGGTAAAAATTGTATGCTTCTTTTGTTTTCTACATTTATATTCTTAATTCATTTTTGGTATCAGTAAAATGACTTCATTATGAAGAATGCACTTCTTAAATACATTCTTAAATACATTAAAATGATTTGTTTGTTCTCTGTTTGTTCTCTTTCATTTCACAGAAAACATACACCATGCATGATGAAGTAAATAGTAAAAGTAAATTGTTAAAGTAAATAGCCTTGTATTTTTAAATCATCTCGTTTTATATACTTTTAAATCATCTAGTTTTATAAAAGATTTAATTACACTCTTTCTTCAAGTTAGTTCTTGTTAATGCAACTATTTCATATGAACTTTGATGAATTGTGGACTTGATCCTGTAACGCTTTATATTTTGTACCAACACTTTCCTATACTGTAGACGACTTTTCTCCACAGGGTCATAATTCCGCGGAATCTCGATTTCTGTTCAATTGAAGAAGAAAATTTCGCGGAATTCCTAAAATCTCATTGTAAGCCTTACATGGAGATTAAGTACAATGGGGCAGTTTTCAGTGGAAAATTTGTTACTGGGTACATAGAATAAATTAATACCATGCGGAAAAAAGTTCTTCAACATTATTTTCTTCTTACAAAAGTAGAATCCACAGTGCAGGAATTATATGCAGGGACCCCCCCTTTATTTCTTCTCTTTTTTACCTTTTGCAAATGGCCAAATTCAAAACTAACACAACTGTAACAAAATTCATAGAAGCCTTTGAGTGGTAAAAGTAACATGGAGTAAAAAATAACCTTGTATTCAGGTCTTCCATAGCAAGAAATATGCAAAGTGTGGTGTACATCAATTCTAACTGGGAAGGGGGGGGGGGGTGTAATAAAAAATGTTCTGGATAAAATATAACATGAAAGAACAACTAAATGTACATGTAAAACCTGTGATTCTAATAATCTTTCTGTGAGCAGGAAAAAGTGAAGGAAAAACAGAAGTCTCAGATGAGACTGTAGCTCTATTGACTTATACTTTGTTTATTATCCCTCTTGAGAATTATTTACCCTTATTGCAACCACACCACTTGCCAGTGGAAAGCTGCAAATTTTGACCTATACTCAGCAATAAAGTGTCATTGCGCAGTAATAAAACATTTTGTGCCAGCACCTCTTGCAACATGGCACATCGATCTATATGGTTTCATCCGAAAAACCGGTCTCCACCTCCCCCAGTGGATTCAAACCCCTGATGTAAGGATCAACTCCTTACTCCCCGACTTGACAGCAGACACTCTTACTACTGCGTCACACAGGTTTGTACTCATAACAAAGGAAGAGAAAATTAGCACCTGGTTTTTCACTTTGCCACAGAATAAATGAAAATGATGTATCTTAGTGTATTCTACTAGTGTGCCTAGTTACATTGAAATCGGACCAAAACTGTAGGAGGAGTAGCATTTTTGAAAAATTGTTTACAGACAATGAGACAGATGGACCAGTAGAGAGCTAAAAAAAAAAAAGAAGACCTTTTAGCTTAGCAATGATTTATTTTGTACAAATAACAATAAAACAATGATTTTTTTTTTTTTTTTTTTACATTTGTGTCAAGATAAAAATGAGGCAATTGTTGGATAGAGTGGTTTAGACATAGATAGAAAAAAAAATTAATGAAATGTACATGTACTCTACATTAGTAAATAAAATTATACAGTGAACTCTCATTAATCTGAATCTCAATGATCTGAATGTTTTACTTTCCAGATAAAATTGGGGATGGTGATACACTTATATCTATTATTGATAACAGTTGGACTGTTCCAATATTTTGGGAGTTTGATTTGTATGGGATCTCAAGTGTTCAGATTAACGAGGCTGGACTGTATATTTAGAATGGGATTGGAAGTTTATGGCATTAGTTAAACAGGATGGAAAGCCCTAAAAATGTCACCGTGATAGAGTACATTGTGGCCTAAGTACAACATGATTAACAATAACAAAAAACTGGAATTAAAAATGCTGTCAACTGAACAATAACAAACAATAATTCTCCATGCTACATCTCTGTGATGACTTGAAATAAATGCATAATAATTAATTTTGCATGAAACTAGGATTGATAATTATACCACTTTTTCTTTTTCAAATTATAAAATAAATGCAAAAATACTTGTGTTAATCTTTGGCATAACTGATGATAAAAATAAGTAACATATCCATGCGCCACATGCACACCTGAGTCACATATTTGAAAACCCTTGTTGTGGGCTTGTGGCCCATCATCATCCCCTTACTGCCACACATTCTTGAGGTTATAAAGCCGATGTTTGAACAAATTACATCTAGATTATGCACTATACGTATAGATGCATTCACATCATAGACATGCTATGCTAAATGATTCTTCATGAACATCTATGCCCTTATTGTGGCTACTCCATGGCCTTGTTGGCCAAAATTTACAAATCCGATTTATTTTTGGCTAGAATATTTTCACACAAGGTTTGGGTAATCCAATCAATCTTGAGATTTTGACTGGATCTGTACTCCAGCATTAAACGATTGAATGTTTTTTTACGTTTATGTTTGGGAGTTACATTCAGACCTACATGGACAACTACACAGAACAAACTCTGATCAGAAAAGCTCACTTAGGGCTACAGCTTTTACGAGCTCATAAGTCAACATTTACTGGTTTCTGATCACAAGACATGGAAATACTAAATAACAAGTGCTTTCTGTCAAAACAAAAATATTATAACATCTTTTTGATACTGTTAAGGCTTAAAAAAAAAATAAGTTTGTTTCCTGTAACATTCCCAAAAAATCAAGGGTCGGTAGGTTGGAAATTCTTTTTTTTTTTTTTTTTTTTTTTTTTTGGTTGCTTATGAATGGTCAAACATCCCTGGACCGAAAATACAAGGTGATATATTTACAGTGGATACCCAATATGGCATCCAAAATGGCTGCCAAGCGGCAGAAAACGAACTTCAGAAAGTTGTAGGGGGAAACTGTTGTTACAATAATGATTACTCTTTATATTTAAGGTAAATGTACACTAAGTTGACATATTTTATGTCTCAAATTAAGCTACAGGCTATTTTTTGAATTGGCTCGCGTAGCGAGCTACTCCCTGTTGACATAGCCATTTCAGAACTGTAAATTTTTTCACGCATTCATCAAGGTGATCCATACGCCAAATATGATAGTTCTTGCAAAAAATGCTTTTGTTTGAGTGATTGTATAAACTTAGGAGGTAAAATTTGTATAAAATTTCATACTGTTACATTATTTATATCTTCATGCTTTTAAAGAAATTTTTGATTAAATATCTGTATGATGTACAATTACTGCGTATGAATATGTTCAAGCATGTTAGGCGGATCTAATCTTCCCATCTGAAGATTATTTATAATTGACCTAGAATACTCCCTAACACAAACACCTGCTGCTCCCATTAGCTGCAGCTAGTCTGCTTGAAAAATCTATTTTTAGAATCCAGATTTGCTGTGGGAATCTTTAAACTAATTACTTCATAATACTGACCACTTCAGCCAGTGTGCTTAAATTCATTATAGAATCCAGGTTTGCAGAGCTGATTTTCACAATAATATGTATGGAAGCCCATTAGTGCCAGCCTGTATATATAAAGGAAAAGCAATATACACTTTATTTTTGAACCGAACATAAAATATTCAATCTCTTAAGATGCAAAATAAACTGAATATAAGGTATGGTCTCTAGATGTATGAAAAAGCTAAATTAACTCTTGCGAGTCAACTCACAGGCCCTTCAGGCCTTTGATTTAAATTTAATAAATGGAATCAGCTGATTGATCAAACGAAGTTTTGCCATTTGTCAGAAAAAAAAAAATCCACCCGGGGATAATTTGAATGGGTCGGTCGGGTTACAGGAAACAAACATATTTTTTTTTAGGCCTAATGATTCATAAAACAATCTTCACTGATGCAGCTTAACAGTCATACTAAAATGGACAAACAGTAAGTTTTATCAGTACTGGCTTATAAAATATCCATCAATTTTTATGCAGATATTATATTAGCACATTTAGAAAGCTTTTAACTTTGTAACATATACATGAATCTTGGACAAAAGTCATTATTTTGGAGAAATCATTCATCGGTACCTCCTAGATCCAAACATGTGAAGAATTTACAATAACAATTAAAAAAAAGAAATTGAATCGTACAATGATTTCATCCTCCCTGCATAAGATTCATATCAATTACATTAAAATCTTGGACCATTTTAGCATGCAGTATTATTGGCACTAATTTTTTCACAATGTTGGATATTATTATACAAAGCAGTCTCTAATTAAAAATTTTTAAAAGCAGTAAATTTATCAGATCTCAAGAAAAGCTTTGTTCAAAACAATTCCTACTACTATCCAATCTTTATAATAAAAATGTTGATCTTTGATCAAGTGCTGACACAAAATAAATAAAATAAGTTATTAAATTATATTTGGTCATACATGCACATCTTTCAGACTGTTTTCTGCAGAAGTTAACCTTGGCTCTGTGTTGACACAAGACACACTTTGTCATTGTTCACTTCTGTATGGATGGGATCTTGTCAAATTGGCTCATTTTTTCTTTCTCTCTTCTGTACACCGTGGACAAAACCATTTTCCTTTAGGTTTCATGGTCAGCCCCACACACGCGAAGTGGAACCACTCAATGGGACACTGTAAATTATAGGATAAAAATTAACGTAAAGCATATCACCAGCATCTTGTAGAGCTTGCACTACATTTGTACAGGCTAAGAGACTGAGATGTGTCAGACAGATGTCTTATTGGTCCAGAAAAGCTAAAAGGTCTCATGTTGAGAAACTGACCAATCTAATCTCTCAAAAATACTTAAACAAAACTGCAGTTTACATCAGAATTCTATAAATTACTTTTTATTAATTAGAACTTTCCTTTTGTAAAATTACCTGAAAAAGTGCTTGCGAATTTTTATTTATCAAAAATAATACAACAATAACTAAAAATTCTTTAATATTATGTGTTCCTTAAAAATACCAAATGCCTGTATCTTGCAAAAATAAGGTTTTGGAATTTTTCCACCCCTTATCTTCAGTTTATGTATAAATGCATATGTATTAGATCGAAGTGACTACATTAGAATGAAGTTACGGACTTCGACATTCGCGGAACTTACGTCTGGATTATCACAGCCAATCATCTCGCCATATGAAACCTGGTGACAGAGACAGTAGGTCGGCTCATTGGGGTCAACAGGCATGTCAAGGACATCTGAGGGGTGGGTGATCGATAATGTCGACAAGATCGGTATGGACGACACAACCTCTTCTGGAGGGCTATAAATACCAGAGTAATTATAAATATTAATGGTTGTATTATTCAATTATGGTTTATAATAGTTTTTAAATGATTTTAAATAAGTAAAATTATTGAAAATAAAAATATACATGTTTAAAAGTATGTACATGTATTTAATTCCATGCAGTTAAAATCAGTTATATTACATGTATAATACAACTTTTCTTTCTCTATACAGTACCTCTGCTGGCCTTTCTTCTTTTTCTTCTTGGGAATCTCATCATCAAATTCTTCTTTCTTCCTTTTCTTTTTGTCTTTATCTTTGTCTAAACAAGAATACTATTGTTTTAGATTTTGAAGTATAACTTGTGTTTTTGATGATGGTATTTATCTATAAGTGATGTACAAGGATTTAGCATAGTGTGGATGTCGTCTGGGGCACATATAGGAGGGAAATAATAAGTTTAGCTTAGTTGGTTTAGCTAATTTCTCCTGTGGAGCCCAATTGCAGGGGTTTGAAAATAGCAAAAAAATTGAAAATTTTCAATGCTGTGTTTCCTCCTTCTAGCCTGAAAACAAATATGTATCATCATCTCTACTCCAGGTCATAATGTATATCAGTGGCGAGTCTAAGAGATAATGGGATGTACAGTTAATTATGCACATACTCTTCTTGCCCGAGTCTGAATCAGATTTGAGCTTGGAGGCTGATGTCTTGTCTTTCAAATCTGCCTCAAACCTTGCCAAGTCAGCATCTAACTTTCGTATATGTTTATCAACCTGCAAAAAAATTGTAAACTGTTAACGAGTTTAAAAAAAGGTCTAAAGTCATAAATTGGTTACACATTCTAATTACTCTACTAATCATTTAGTTATCATGACAACGTCTGATCTAAAAGATGAACAAGAGATGTTTGTAAAACACTTATGCCCCCTTCCCCCAAATAATTGGAATTTTTCTAAGTCCAAGGGGCATAACTCTGTCCAAAATGGCTTGATCATACTCAAAACAAAACTTGACATAGATATTCTTATGATAAATCTGTACACCAAATTTCATTTCAATATGAGTAATCTCTGCGAAGAAAATGAACTGAAACTGCTAATTATTGGATTTTTTTAAGTCCAAGGGGCATAACTCTGTCCAAAATGGCCCAATTGTACCCAAAACAAAACTTAGCCTAGATATTCTTATGATAAATCTGTATACCAAATTTCATTTCAATTGGTGCAACCTCTCCGAAGAAAATGAACAGAAACTGAGGGTGGACCGAGCAACAGACAGCAGCAAAGCAATATGCCCTCCCTTCTTCGAAGGGGAGAATAAAAATAAACACATGCAAAAGAATATATGAAGCTAATAAAAAGGTTCAGAAAAATAATTAAGACTAGTTTTACTGAAAGTATTTTTACCATTTCATATGTCTGCATTGCTAACTGTACTTTGTCGTCCCCGTACTCTCTGCTCTTGGAGAATTTGTTTTCTATTGTTGAGAGTTTTTGGGTTCGTTTCTCTGGAGACATTCCTCTGACATTCTTTAAATAGTCCTCAGAGAGATGGTCTATGTCCTTAAGGAGGTCTAAAAAGAAAAACTAAGGTGATAAAAAAACTTGCTGAGAGTTCTGAATGGGACTACATGCAATTATTTATCAAGAAGTTTACTAGGAAAGACCTTCATAAGATTCTGTTCTTAGTCTAAAAATTCTTGGGAATCTCATGAAACAAAATTATTCAAAACATAACAAAACTACGAAAAGTTAATAAGGACATTTACACAGACACGCAGGCAAAATTAAAATAGTACTCCCCCCTCTCCTTCGCAGCAGGGGTATTATTAAGCATATAATGTACAGTTAGATGCATACTATCTTCGGTCACTTTGATATTTACATTAGTTGGTGTTGTTCCTACTGGTCCTGATACTGTTATCATTTTATTAAAACAATTCATGGAAAACATCAGCATTAATATTTACTGACACAGACCTACATAGCATACTAAACAAAGCCAACTTTACAGAGATCCAAGCCTGGGTTGATATTATCAATATTTTTATATATTGTCCCAGGTCTATAAAATAGGTCCATCGGACTACAGTAAAATAAACAGACCTTGACTGTCAAATTTTTGATAAAAAATCTAAGTGCATGGCTCCAGTACCGGTCCATCATGCAGTCTGCTGCACTAGAAAGAATGCTCTATTTTTAAAATGATAAATGTTTCATAGATCCAGTTTAAGGATAATGTGACTTCTGTGTAATGGCAACGTAGCAAAATAGACACAGACCATATCTCAAACTCAGTGCATTTACTATAAAACATCCAGAGTTTGGAATTCTGAATGTCAACTTGGCATGAAGAGAGTATAAAACATTGAGAAAAAGTGTTGAGTTCTTTAAAAGGTATCTATAATATCTCAAGAAGGTTTTTAATGATTAATTTCAGGGTTGTTCCTAAGAATTAACACAGATGGGGACATTTTGGGAAGTAGAAGGGGGATCTGGGAGTTAAGGAGGAATACCAAAATAACTGGAGAGTTACATCATAACAGACAGGAAAGTTCACAGCCCCAAGTTTTAGGGACAACCCTGTAATTTGATTGTTACTTTCAAAGCAACCCCATTCATTTTCTCGAATATTGTTTCGGAACGATTCTGCAATTCTCTGCTACATTGCAAGTATATGGGAGGCATACTAACTGTGTAGGGCCTCTCCCTAGACAAGGTTAGATATTTCTTACTAACTGCAATACTGCTATGTAAAACAAAGTCAAGTCATGGTCACTGGTGACTGAGTGGTGAGGTCAGGCCCCCAAACACACTAGCCAACTACGTTCAGAAATATAAATCAGTTTAAAATTATACCCTGTGTACGTTGATCCAGATCTCTCATCAGGTTAAAATTTCTTTGCAACTCTGTTGGCAATGTCTCTAGACCTATATAAAAATACATTAAGTGATTGAGATTCAACAAAATATTAATATTACATTTTGAGATATTCCCTTTAAAAAGTTTTTTGAAATTTGACAGTTCATGTACTTTAAGATTCAAGAACTAAAATGAACTTAAATTAAACTTTCCTCTTTTCTTACACAGATGATTTCTTCATATATCTAAAAAATCTCTTTTTCACAAAGATAATGTCACTTAATGATTAAAAGTTCGATAATTTAGCCATTTCTGGCGCAATTTCTTTAAAATCTCTTTGAACAACTTTCAAAGAAAATTGAGTAATCCATTTGCATTTCTATACGTAGAACAGAAGGTGTATTAATCATAAGAACTTTAAACTAAAAATGTTTTGAACAGTTCTTCTTAAAAATGCAATTCTTACTGTCCAGATAGTGCTCCAAATACATTGCAGTCGCCATGTTTGCAGTGCTCTAATTATAACTAGGTCATGTGACTAATTTTGTTGCGGCTTCAAATAGCACAAAAATTGACAATCGGATATTTTATTTTCTAAACAATGACTGAATGGAGATTATATCGAGAAAAAAAAACTTGACTAAAAAAAATAAATAGGGATCTTCCTTAAGCAAGAGCTAGGGATCGAGTTAATCTTTATATTAAATTTCACTTTTAAAAAAACAACTCAAAGGTTTCTCGAGATATCGCACGGAATCGAACTTGTTAAAACAGGCAGAATGTATGAAATTATGACCTTGACCTATGACTCCGATTGGGGGTGTTTCTTGGGCAAAAGATAATTTTCAGTAGACCCAAATTAACAAGAGTTATTTCCCGTCGGCCGCCATATTGGGGGGGGGGGGTTAACATGCTCATATTCCTTCATAATTCAACCAACTTTAACTTTTTGTACTGGCAATTGTTGGCTACTAGGAAGCATTGTTTTTCTGAACAAAAATATTATACATTTGTCAGAGCCTTCTTTATTTCATAATGTTTATTCCTTAAAGATGTTCCCCCAAATATTGCTGCTACATCCTCTTATATTTAGTAGGACAAAGAGGGAAAATTACCTGGTTGACCACCAAGATGGCGGCCAACGGGAAATAACTCTCACTAATAGTCTTCTGAAAACTATCTTTAGGGTGTCGTGTAAAATTTCATTGCAAACTGAGCTCAGAAGATTCTCGAATTATCACACGAAAACGAAAGTGTTCCAGAGAGCCAAAAATATAGACGGACGGTGAAAGCGGGGGAACAAAATTGAAATGCATGGGTTCAAGAAAAATGCAATTTTTTAAATTCAATTTTAATATCTACATGGCTTAAAATGTAAAATGGACCTTCAATCAATAATTAAAGCAAAATACTTAATGAACAGTGATGAAATTATGTTGTATAAAGATTTTCATATGATCTGCAGTCTATATTTCTCTTCATTAGCATATTAATTACATAATCATTTACCGTTATGAAGAATTTTCAAAAAAGGGGGTATAAATTGTATATAAATTTTGATTTTTTTTTTTTTTTTTTTACCTTACAGGGCCAATCTCAGAATCGTAACAAAGGCGAAAAATGATATTGATATCGAAATATAAAAAATATGGGCAAGGAAATCTTGTATTTTTGATAAGTTTTTGTGTATTGGGGGGGGGGGGGCTACACCGGATATCCATTCGTCAGGTGCCTGTGGTAAAATGTAGAGAATGCATGCATGGATCGATTAAAAATTGGGTAGGCCTAATATATACATTGTGAAATTTAATTAATTTATTTTAGATAAAAGGACAGATTATACTTACTGTACAAAAATAACACAGAATCGTAACTAGTTTTCTTAATTTTACTTTAGATAAAGGACAGATTATACTTACTGTACAAAAATAACCCAGAATCATAACTCGTTTTCTGAAGGGTTTGGTTCTTGTCCGTTTTTATCCGAATATAAACCTTTCGAATATATCCCGACTGCGAAGGAAAACATCGCCGATGGCCGATGGCGATGGCTCTGAAGTTCCACAATCGTGTTGGAACGCTTGTCGCACTCAGTAACAACAACTGCACGGCTCAGAGGAACCACCCTACCCAGGAATTCAACAATGGGGTAGTTATGAGCGCGGAACCACTGCAGGACAATGTCCCTTTTGAAGTCAGAATTGACAGAAAGGTATTTTCGCTAAAAATTGTATTTATCCCATTCAGTGATTCATTTCTTCGTGGAATTTTTTTTTGCACCAAGAAGATATAGGTGATATAGAAGCAATACAATCGCTAAATGATTTCAGTCTTTAATGAGTTTACATTTGAATGTTAATTAGATATAGTTCGAATTTCCTCGTAATATGCAGGGATTGAATAATGTAGATCAAGCATTCTCGTAATGTTTTCAGTCATATGATAATTATAAACAGCGTCTTTCCTTAGGTCAACTCCTGGAGTGGTTCGATTGAGATTGGTGTGACAACATGTGACCCAAGCACGCTGAAGTTTCCTATCAGTGCTACTGGTTTTCGCGAGGGAACATGGGTGATGTCAGGGAGCTCTATTCTGAGAGATGGACATTCTGTCATTGAGGAATATGGAGCAGATCTAGATCAGCTCAATGAAGGTGCTGGATATGGAACATTCTTATTTAGTTACACTGTCATGTCTTACAACATGTGTCAAAAAGGTCTAATATTATGCCCTGTTCACACGATAAGTTTAATTCGCAGTAAATTAATGCGAAGTAAACTAATGCGAATCAAACTAATGTGAATTAAATTGCGTTCACACGACAGCTAATGCGAAGTAAACTAATGCGAATTAAAATTCTACTTCGACAGTCAGGCGTCAGTAAAGCTATTATGACGTCATTTGCAAATCACGTCACCTTATGCAGAAGCAGATGCATTTGACATAATGTCACAGTGTCTGTACACATATTTTAGTGATTAACACATTTTTTCTTAGTTTTTCACTCAAAAATAGCACAAGTACTTAAGACTGACCACCGACATGACGCATTTGACTTAATTTTGCCATTACGCATGCCCCAAAATTTAATTCGAATTAGCTTCGCTTAGCGTTCACACGGAGATAATGCGAATAATTTAATGCGCAGTAAACTAATTCGAATTAAACTATTTCGCATTAAATTCCCAGTGTGAACGCTAAGCGAAGCTAATTCGCAGTAAACATGCGTTTAATTCGAATTAACTCTCCGTGTGAACAGGGCACTAGTAATAGTAATATGTTTGTGTAAAAAGCATTGAAATCAACATTGTGTTGGTTATGATATTTGCTCCATTGGCAAAGTATCTTATATGACATATTCCCAATCAGTCATATTGACTGTTGTAAACAGATGATAAAGACAAAAAAAAAAGTCACAGAAACTTGTACTGTAGCAAAAAAACATAGGTAAAGCTGAACATTTGTAAAATACAAAACAATGCAAAACTGCAAATCAACACATTGAGGTTAAATTTGTGGAAGATACCCACATGTAGATACTTAACAGTATTCTATATAATCTATATCTAAAGTTGTAAACTTAAAGATATAAAACAGATCACCATAACTTTATGAGAATGGAGCTGTGAATTTATTTAGTGGATAGGCTTTGACCAGTGTTAGTTGTTCACCAACACTAAGTAAGAATGCAGCTGTAAATTTATTTAGTTGACCGATTTCAACTAGAGAAGGTAACTGTCTCTGGTTGAAACCAGTCAACTATATAAATTCACAGCTGCATTCTCATGAAGTGTCGGTGATCTGTTTCATGTCTTTAAGTTTATAATTTATATAAGGAAGAAAATTATCTCTGCCTGCCATATTAGTCTCCTCTAGTTTGTATTCCTCCAGGACATATTTTTTCATGGTTAAATGTACTTCCCAGAATATACTTTTAAAATTCTTGATGTTAATTTAATATGTTTAGAAAATAATAGTATTTTTTTAATCAGGTGAGAAGGTTGGTGTTATGCGGACCACTGATGGTACTCTCCATTTTCTTGTTAACGGTGTTGACCAGGGTCCCGCTGCCAATGGTATTGCTTCCAAAGTGTACGCCATAATTGATATGTATGGGAAATGTGCGCAGGTCACAATTGTTGACAACACTCCTGGAACCAATCAGGAAAATGGTGGGTGCATAAATTGCCGTAACTATAAAATTACTGTTCCTCTTTCTGATGTGTTGATAAAAGAATTTTGTGATTACTTACTTTTCTCAAATTTTAGACCATGTGCTACTGCAGTAATTGAAAAAAAAAACAAACCTTTTTAATGACAAGTGTTTTGATCTACATTGTATTTCTTCTGGTATTGTAAATGGAATGAAATGTAATTTTCAGTATAATGTAAAAAAGAGGCTTAACATGCATTTGCTAGTAATAAGAGCATTCTGTTATACACGTTTGAATTGTATTCACTGTAGATGGAATTTCTACGGATGTTGCCAGCCAGCTAGCCAATGAATTCCTTACTCAGCTCTCCAATCAGATTGTTAATGACTTGACCAGAAATGTAGAGGCTCTGGGACTAGATAATGTAGCCTCAAACTCTAATAATGAGAAACTGACATTCCATGAGCGTTGTGGGAGCCTGGTCAAGCTAAGCAACAGCCGTCGTACGGCAGAGAGACGACACCCGCTGGACGAGTTTAACAATGGAGTAGTCATGACCAATCGACCTCTGAAAAATGATGAGTTATTCGAGGTCAGCAAGGATTTAGAAAAAATGATAAAACTTCATGTGAATTTGGTATTTTTCCTTTTCATTTGTCAAAAAAGGTTGAGATATATATGTGGAATCTTTTTTTTTTGTCCACAGATTCGCCTGGATGTTTTGGTTGATAAATGGTCAGGCTCTATAGAAGTGGGAATAACAACACATAATCCATCCATGCTAGATTTCCCAGCAACCATGACCAACATGAGATCAGGTAATTCTTTATACTCCTTGATCAAAATTGATGATGTCAAATGTTAATTGAAACATTTGACATTTTATAGAAAATTGTTGAAATTGATTTCATTACTTTCCTTGCATGGATTGGTGTAGATATATTTAGAAGGCACTGACATGCTTACACTTGCATCACACAGATCTGTCTAACATCAAAGTTTAATATGATGTTAAATTTGGAAAATTGTTTTAATTATTCCTTGTATCCCTCTATGTGTTTACTTAATCATAAGCTTCAAAGCATATCCTTTTCTGAGGGATGTAGAATAGATTACTGTAAATAAGGAACAAGAGGAAAGTGCTAATTTGGATAAGAATATTTGTTTACCTTATGAGCAAGTTATGGATGCTTTTTAATTTTAATGAGTTAAGTCAGTGCATTATTTTCTTAAATCAATAGTTTAGTCCAACATTGTCTTGTTTGTTAGTAATATATAGATGCTATATTATCTAATCAGAACTGTATGTGTTATAGTCGTGTGTAGAAGAAATGTTGATTTACAAGTGAGACAAATTCATGTTGTTTGATGAATACACAAACTGTATAA